ACTCTTGGTTTTGAGTCAGGTCACCATCTCAGGGGAGTAGGATTCAGCCCCGGGTCCACTCTTCACCAGTCTGCTTGAGATTCTTTCCCTCCCCTCTGCTCCTCCCTCCTCCTTTGCTCTCTCTCTGTCTCTGAAAGAAGGAAAGCAAGAAAGAAAGGAAGGAAGAAAGAAAGTCTTTAAAAAAAAAGAAGAAGAAGAAAAAGACATTAAGGACAGAGTGGAAAAAAAAAAAAGGACATTGTGGCTCCGTCCACCTGCCTCAAGCTAGTGCCTGGTTCTGCAGGAGTGGAGTCCCTGCCTGCTTGGGTCATGTGCCTGCCTTTGGGGGTGGAGCCTCATTGTGACTGGCAGTTCCACCGGGACCACCTACAATGAGGGGGCAAAGGAGATGATGGAATCAGGTGGGGAGAAAAGGCTCTGAGCAGAGAAAAGCAAAGATGCCCGCAGGACTCCTGAGACCCTGGGCCTCTCACTGCGTTTTCCTCCCTCCCCGGGGGGTTATCATCAGCTGGACACCGGTCCCCCTTCCAGGCCCGGGCTTAGGTGACATCTCCTCTCCACAGCCCTTCCTGAAGGCCATGCAGGCAGAGTCAACTGTCCCCTCCATCCTCCAGGGCTCCCTGGCACCTTCCACGACCTGCTGCTGGGGCTGCTCACACATATGCTAATCTGTGCACTGGGGTCCGCAGTGGGTCATTTTCATCCAGGCAGTGGATGCATGTTAGGGCCTGCCACGTTGGAGGTGTTGGATTCTTTTCTCTCTTTGTGGGGACTCAGTAACCATTAATTTGCACCTCTTTGGGGATCGCCAGGCAACCCTGGGGTGTTCACTGCTGCCCTGGCAGTTCTCTCTGGCAGCTCCATTATTTCTGTTGTAAGCCTCGCTGGGAGAACCTAAGCTGCTTTGCTTTGTTTCTGAGATGTGCTCTTTGTTTTCACATTCATCTCACTGGGTTGTCATCCCAGGGCCTGAGTTTCTCTTTAAGGGAATCCAATCGTTTGTCTCATGCCCCGGCTGACAGTGAGGCACCCCAGCCTCTGAGACTGTCGGTAGGCGGACTTCCTGGGTATCACACACGTATCTTCCAATGACTTACGACAGCAAGATTCATATCCTTTGGAGTAAGACTCTAAGGCTTAGAGAAAACACCTCCAGAATTGCTCAGACCCAGCTGGGGTTCTTCTGGACTTTCTCTGGGAGTAGTTCAGCTCCACCATTTAACTGAATTGGTTTGGAGGTGGTGCAGTGGGTTAGCCACAGTGCTCTCACCTCCTTGTTTGGAATTCTTTCCTCTGGCCTCTGTCTCAGGCTTCTGAAGTTCTGAGGGGCAGCATCCCTGAGCCCCGGGGCAGTGGTGATGTCAGATGATGGAGCTGGGGTGGGGGGGACATTGTCAGTTTCGAGGAACCCAGGTCAGGAGCCCAAGAAACCCTAAGAGGACTGGGTCCCAAGTACCTGGGTACCTCTAAGGAGGACAGAGCAGCAGGCTGTGGAAAACCCAAGCACAAATGATCAGAAGAGGCAGCCAAGGTCAACTTCATTCATCCACAGAACTAGACACCTTCTTCCAGAACCCCAGATACCCTCCCTCACCCTCCTGCATCTGAGCGAGCAAGGACCACAGGCCTGTTCCTAAACTCACCACTGGGAAGCAGCATCTGGCAGATGCAGCCTTGGCTGGTCATTTTTTGGCAGAGCCTTGGGTCCGAGTTTCACCATCTATAAGACAGAAACAGCAATGCCCACTTCACAGCGTTGGGGCGAAGGTTAAATGTAAGGCCGCTAGAGCACATAGAAGGTGCTAAACAGATGGTGGCATCACTACCACCTGCACCACCCTGGGTCCCGTGCTCTAGAGGACCCACGCTTCACACAGACACACACAGACACACAGACACACAGATGCATGCGCACACAGTCATGCACACCCCACATTTGTTGGAAGGCCCGTGCGTGCCTCTACCCCTTGCCAGCACCCAGCACTGGGTCAGCCCCATCCCTGGCCCCTCGGCCCCTGGTCTGCAGTCCTCTCCTCTGTTCTCATAATTAACACCATTCAGCCCGGTGAACCACGTCCTGGCATCTCCCGCCCTGTGTCCTGGCAACAGAAGCCACCTGCCTCGAAATATCAGAAGGCTGTGAGCCATGCTGCCACCACGTGGTCATGTGGTCATTGGAGGCCACGGGTGGGCACAGGAGCTCCAGGACGGATGACCTGGTCAGACCCTTCCTCTGGGAGCCACGCCCGGTCATGCCGAGCAAATATCACTTCCCACTCACTCCACTCATTTTCTTGTGCCTGGTCATTTCTAATTCATGGTGTTGAGGGCCTTGCGGGCCACAGTTTCACAGGGTGACTAAGGGACACCGGGCCACATGAAACAGTGCATATCACTAGGAAATTTGAATAATGCAGGTCGACACGTAACATTGGGTGGTGACAGTGCTTTACATTGGCAGCTACATGACCCTAAATACTAGAATGGCCAATAGTTTCACTTTTTAAAAAATATTGGGCAAGATGTGATGAACTTTCAACAAAAATTCTTCCAAAGAGTCAACTTTACTCAAATCATTTTAAATTTTATATATTCATTGGCTATTATTTGTATTTTGCCTATTAATTGTCCTAGAGAGTTTAGAGTATTTTTTAAGATTCATTTATTTATTTATTTATTTATTTATTTATTTATTTATTTATTTATTTATGATAGATACAGAGAGAGAGAGAGAGAGAGAGAGAGGCAGAGACGCAGGCAGAAGGAGAAGCAAGCTCCATGCCGGGAGCCCGATGGGGGACTTGATCCCGGGACTCTAGGATCGCGCCCTGAGCCAAAGGCAGGTGCTAAACCGTTGAGCCACCCAGGGATCCCCAAGAGTTTAGAGTATTTTAGAAGAAAAATCTTTTTGAAAAGCATATCAAAATAATTTTTTCTCTTTAGCTTTGCTTATTTTTTGCGAAACATAGATTTTATAGACTTTGAATACAATTACACCTTAAGAATCGTGTAGATCATTATGATCGTTACGGTCAGAGGAGCAGAAATCATGTAAAACTGTGTTTAAAATGTAATTGGAGATTTTGCTGAAATGAAAGGAAAAGTACGGGACAAAGGTACAATCACTTATGAAAGTACATATGTCTGTACTCCATAATACGTCATTCAAACATGGCCAGCCTCATCAACAGAACACCCAGACACGCACAATAATAATTAAACTCGAGCAATTTGGACATAACACCTGCCTTTCAGCCATATATGAGCTGTGGCTTTCCATACATCTTTAACCTGTTGTTAGGAAAGCATATTTAGATGGGAGGATGGAACATACTTTACTTCTCACCTTGGCATCTGGATTGATAATTTTGTAAAAAACATTTCATTTATTTATTCACGAGAGACCCAGAGAAAGAGGCAGAGACACAGGCAGAGGGAGAAGCAGGCTCCCTACAGGGGGCCCGACGCGGGACTCGATCCCAGGACCCCGGGATCACTCCCTGAGCCGGATGCAGATGCTCAACCACTGAGCCACCCAGGCGTCCCTTGATTGACAACTTTTAAATATTTAGACACACGGCATGGGGGTCCCCACGTGTACTCTTGACCCAGACCCTACAAACGTTAAAGTGTTGGGGGCGAGCCTGACCACCACCACCCAGAACAGGTTCTGGAGGCTTCCAGGAAGGAAGGGATGGGGAGGGGGGGCTCCAAGCAGGAAGGGGCTTTGCAGGGGAGGCCCGCCAGTGCTAACTGGCGCTAACTGGTACAGCTGCTCCTAGCAGCAACAACAGGCATATCCGCTGTGCTTTGCAGGTTCCTGGTGTAAGCACTTCGCAGGCACCGTTGGGTTAACTCCCAACCATATCACTGACGGTGCCATTAACATCCCCATCGTACAGGTGGGGAAACCGAGACCACGGAAAGTGAAGTCGTTTGCCCAGGAGTATCCCGTTAGCCAAGGGTAAAGGCGGGCAGTCTGACTGCAGAGCCCAGAGTGCCCTCTCAACTGGAACACTATGGCACCTGGGAGTAAGGGGGGGAGGCCTCATAATGGGCGGGGCCTACGTGTCCCCCCCCTGCCCTCCAGGCACTCAGAGACACAGGCATGGGCAACGGTTTCCCACCAGGCACCTGCCTGCCCCTGTGCAAGCGGCCCTACTGCCCAGAGTCCTCCCTCTGCTCCCCCTCCCCTGACCTCCCGGGGTCAGCCTGGGGCAGTGGAACTCTGATGGGACGAGCATCCACGGCACAGCCCCTCCTGTCCCCACACATGTGGCCGGAGCTGTCCTGGAGCCTGCGGCACCTGCTAACTGGAGCTGCTCCTCTTGCTGGGAACCCTCCTGCGGGGCCCTCGGCAGCCAGCACCGTCCTGTGTCCTGTCCAAACACAGGTAGGAGCAGGACGCCTCCTGGCGTAAAACCCTCACCGTCGTTCCCCTGGCCCCTGGACAAAGAGCAACAAGGCGGAGCTATGCCATTTTACGAGGACGTCGGCACCTCATAAAAGATGACAGCAGCCCACGCCGGGGACTCTTGTCCAGCACAAATGGGAGAACCCAGCTGTGTGATGACAGCTGCACAAAGCCTACTCCCAGTGGAGGGACGGGTCTCTCCCTGGCCTCCGGGTGCTCACAGCTTCTCCCCCTTGGGACGAAAATACCACAGATCTCTCTCAGAGAGGGGCCTCATTCTCACGGGGGGCTCCGGGGCCCTCTCCAGCATTCTGCAAGCTCTAGACCACCTGCCCACCAAGGCTCAGGCAAAAGGTTCACCGTGGGGTGAGCGGGAGGTCAAGTTCCCAGGGTCAGCTTCCCAGTGAATCATGCCCTTTGAGCCCCGCCCACCAGTAGCACAGCGACCTCACCCCCTCTCAGCCCTTCCTGGATGGATGCATGTCCCTCTGACCACAGGGCCTTTGCACAGGCGCTCTCTCTACGTAAACTCTCTCTGCTTCTCTCTTCACCCCGATTAACTTGTTGAGATCCCCACTAAACCACTTCTTCCACAGACGAGCCCTCGCTGGCCCCCTGCCCGGATCAGACGCCCCCATAAATGCTCCCCTAGGCCTGTGGAACAGCCTGTCAAACCACTTAGGCTTATTCGGTGTATAATTACTAAGGTCTGTCTCCCTGCTGGACTGTGGGCCCCATGCGGGCCGGGATCACAGCGTATGGCTCTTCCGTCTATGCCGCAGAGGACACGAGATCAGGCCATGAAGGGCTGTCAGCCCGGTGCCTGCAGCACGTGCAGAGCTCGGGAAATGGTAAGATGATGATGGTGATGATGATGACGACGACAGCTTCTCTGCTACAAGGAACAAGTCGACACAAGGAGAGAGAAGACGTTGCTTCGAGATTGGGCTCTGTTCCTTCTGCTCGCCTGCCCCCGGCCACCCTCCACCGAGGAAGTTAAAATCTGCCACGCGGGGGTCTCGGCCGGGCTCAAGCGCTGGGGGCCTGGCCTGCCCGCGTGCTCCACCCTCACGGGGGGAAGTGCAGGGAGCTCCTGAGACACCAGCTGCCTCCCCGGTGACCAGGTAAGGAGCAAGGGAAGGAGGGGCCGGCATTTGTGGGAGCCTCCCGTGGGCACGGCATCCTGCAGAGAACTCTCCACCCTTCACTTCCTTTCTGTCTGGTCCCAAACTCTGAGAGGTAGTTCCAATTATGCCCCTATTATGGATGACAAAGCCAAGCCCAGAGAGGTGACGGGACTGGCCAAGGTCACACAGCCCCTAAGTGGCAGAGCACTCAAGTCAGAGACCCTGGCACTGTCAAGCACATGTGTCACTGTGTGAAAACTCTAAAGCCAACCACATTTCCCGAAGGCCTGAAACTCTCCTCCACGTCCGAGACCTCCCCAAACCCCGGCCCTCCTCGGAGCCTCAGCTGGGGACACGGCTGCCAGCCAGCCTGGCTGGATCTCCCTGCCTGGCTCTGCCCCGGGTCCTCGGGTTTCCTCCCCCAGGTACACATGGGCAGGACCCGCCAGGGGCCCCATCCTGGGATGGAGATGGCTCACCAAGGAAAGTATCTCAGAAACCCGGCCCTTCCCGGGAAACACCCTTCTGCTGCTGCGGGAAGAGCTGGGGAATCAAAGCTCATTTCCAGTTGTTTAGACTTAGCTCCTCAGTGACTCACCGTTTGGGCTCCCATGACCCAGGCCGGGAGCCAGGGGCTGTCAGGAGGTGCCCTCGTTAAAATCAAAAGGTAGTGGTGAGCAAAGGGGAGCCCCCTCTCTGGAGACCATGACTCACAGCTGCTGGGTGATCCCAGCCAGGTGCACTCGCCACCCCCCCCCCAATTTTCGTCTAGGGGGGTGAGTTCCAGGAGGAGTCAGGAGCAGGAAATGGGAGAGGCGTGAGGCAGGGCTGCAGGCGGGCTAGGTCAGTGTTCACCCGGCTTCACACTTGGGTTAAAAACCTTTCGTCCCAAATCACTGGCGGTCGTCCCGCTACCCAGCATCTCTTCCCCTCCGTGGGTGGCACCTGTCCAGGGCCTGTATCCCAATCCCGATCACTGCGTCACGGAACTTGCGTGGGGTGTGCGGTGTGAGACCCAGCCTCTGCACCGCATCAGCTCCCAAGGGCCAGCTCCCAGGGTCAGTCTCGGGTGGCGACATGACTTTTGCTTTCACGAGCGCTTTCCTCCATTAAAATAGAAAAAAAATAAATAAAAAGTGAAAAGCAGATGCTAGGACCACACCGGTAGGAAAACAAATATAATCCAGGTTGGATGATAGTCATCCTGATTTTAAAGAAATGAAAACATCTTGGGAGCCCCTAAAAATAACACGAATGCTAGGCTCCAGCCCTCCCGGAGGCACGAGGTGGGCCCTTTGAACTGCCTGCGCCCAAATCCTGGCTCTCCGTGGACTTAGGCGTGTGCCTCAGTTTGCCTCTCTGCAAAATGGGGATGATCAGAGCTGTGGTGTCGTGGGGCTGTTTGAAGGCTCCTTGAGATCTTGCCTGAGGAGGGCTTTCGGCACCATCCTGGGGCATAGTGAACACCCCAAGGGGGACAGCCGCCAGCTGCATTTAAGCTTCCCATCCTGCCAGGAAGGAGGCAAGGTGGGATGCCTTCCAGTCCCATAATGCAGACAGGAAAACCGAGGAGACGAGCAAGGCTAAGGACCTGCCCACAGCCGTGGAATAAGTGGTGGAAGCAGGATCACAAGGCTGCTGCAGGTCGCGCAGCTCCCAGGTCCCCTGCGGGTGGAAGTGGCTGGTCCAGTTATCCCAGCTGCAGACCAGGAACAAGCAGGTGGCAGGAAGCCGCAGGCCAGGACGGGGGCATCCTCTTGCTTCCACTGCTGCCTGAGTGGACTCAGGGGTATGGGCAGCAGCCAGCAAACAAGCCACTGTGAGCCCATGACTGGTGGGACTTTGAAATTTCTGACCACGACAGAGCTGGGGCCTCTCCTGCGCACCCCTGCCCCCGAGCTCTGAAGCCGGGCCTCCGTGTTCTGACCCGACCTGGGCCAGGGGCTACAGTCTCCCCACCACATCCCCTAAGAGAACATCAAAAGGATGGAAGTTTCCAGTCCGTGCTGGAATGTGGGTTTTCCAGCTGACTCAGAGCCTATTTCTACGGCGGCCACACACTGCACCAGGGGATCCAGGGAGACAGTCACATCTGGGAGCATTTTCACTGCTTGTCAACAAGCAGGAACCTGCCCAGAAAAGAACAATGAAGAAAAATCCTGAAACTCAGCTGGCTGAGCTCCCAGCCTCCGACCTACTGGATCTTGGACAAATGGCCCTCCGGGTCCCCAGGGTCCTGCCCCGTGGTCAGGCTGCTCCCCGCATGCTTCCTCTGGGCAACACGGAGGCAGGGGTGGGAGACGGGGAGCAGGGCACCGTGCTGCAGTAGCTGGCCGCATGAAAACCGGACACACCTGGCCACGTGCACTTAAGTTTCTCAGCTTCTCTGGGCCTCAGTTGCTGCACCAGTAAAATGGGAATGAGGAAAAGAGGCCAAGAATGAAGAGCCCTTGGCACAGCCTCTCGCTCACAGCCCAGCTGGTGGTTTTTGGAAAGGGGGTGGGTGAAGGGAGAGGCCGGGAAAAGAGAGAGAGTCACACACTGGATCCTGCAAACCGCCTGGAAACTAAGTCCACAGGGCCCCAGGCTGGCCCCTCCCCTGGCGACTTGACCAAAGGCCGGGAAGTGTAGTTGCATCACTGGGCTTTCAGGGGTTAATGATGGGGAGTGGACAGGACCCAGTATTTAACTAACTGGGGAGGTGCCCTGAGATCAGAGCACCCCACTCACTTCCTTCTCCTGCAGCCCAGCTCCTCTGCCCCCTGCTCACCTCCTCCTCCCCCAGGATGAAGCCTCCCCCTCTCCTGACCTTCCTTTGCCTCCTGGGTAAGTGACCTATGTGACCTTCCCTCTTCCTCCTCCCCAGCTGGAAACCCAGAGCTCCCCGGAGGCCCCAGAGGGCCTGGACCCAAGCTCTAGGGAAGGTGTGGTGGGTCATGCCCGAGCCAGCACTGATGGGGGTTCGGGAGGCGGGGATGCAGGCTGGGTGGACTGGGAGAGCATGGGAAAGGGGCCGGTGGGGACCCCAGATAGCACCCACGAGGCTCCTGCCACCTGTGCTCCACCCGCTGCTCCCATTAGCATCCATTTTTGGTTCTTACCTGCCTGGGGTGGGCAGCCCCCCCATTGCTGTAGCAGCAGGGTCTGGGGGCATCCAGGGAGCCCCAGGTGGTCATGAAGCCCACCCCCTGGCTTCTGGTGGGATCAGTGGGGACAGAGTGCTCTGGGGGCACCGAGCTGACGCCTGGGGTCTGAGGAGCAGTGGGGAGCAAGTGGGAGGATGAGTGGAGATGAGGGAGGGGAGCCGGGGGGAGGGCACTGGGTGCGTCGTCATGATGGGGTGAGCACTGAGGATCAGGGTGGGTGGATGTCGTGGGAATATTATTACTGCTTAGCATCGCTGTTATTGGGGGCCAGGTGCTTGGTGAGGTGGGGCTAACTGCACGGTCCGGGAGGGGAGGCATCGGGCTCAGGTGTGAGGGGACCTGAGGGCGGGGCCCTGACGTCGCTGCGGGCCCGGCCCCCCCCCACCCCGCAGTGGCCCCGGCTGGCGGGAACCTGGTGCAGTTTGGGGTGATGATCGAGCGGATGACCGGGAAGCCGGCGCTGCAGTACAACGACTACGGCTGCTACTGCGGCGTCGGGGGCTCCCACTGGCCCGTGGACCCGACAGACTGGTGAGCGGCCGGCCCAGCAGGGGGGCCCGGGGGCGGGGAGGGGCTGGGCCCCCTGGCAGTCCCTGGCCCGGCGCAGCCCGGCTCACAGGCCCCTCCGGGTCGCCCATGACCCTTCCAGGTGCTGCCATGCCCACGACTGCTGCTACGGGCGTCTGGAGAAGCTGGGCTGCGAACCCAAGCTGGAAAGGTATCTCTTCTCCGCCAGCAGGCACAGCATCCTCTGCGGTACGTGAGCGGCCCTGGAGTGCCCCAGACCCGAGGGCGGGGGGCAGGGGTCCAGGCAGGAAGCCCCTCCTGATGGTGGCCCCTGGTTCATCATCAGGCCAGGCCCGGCCCCTGGGCTAGATAGATGGGAAGGTGGGTCTTCCTCTGTCACCGAATCGTAGAGAGGACTGTCCATCCACCCAGACGCTCACCGGGCGCCCAGGGGCTCCTGCCCCGGCCCCGGGCGCTTCTCCCCACCAGGGGGGCCTCCCAGCTCCAGCCTCTGGGCGGAAGAGCCAAGGGGCAGAGCTGGAGCAGGCCCGGAGGAGCTGGACTCACGCGTCCTCTCCAGGGCAAGGTCCCCGAGCTGGAGCTGCCACTTGGGACAGCAGACCCTGTTCCCAAAGGCTGACTCCGCCCGGTGGGGCTGTCAGGCTGGACCTGTTTGCTCAGCTTTGCCAGATCCAAGGCCCCCTCGGACCCATCAAGTGTACCCTGGTTCCTGGACCACGTGACAGTGTGGAGGCCTCCGCGCTGCCGGGCCCAGTGGAGAGAGCACCGAGCTTCTGCGCTGCGAAGGCAGGAACGGCCTGGAGGGAGGGCAGGGCCGAGTGAGGCAGAAGGACCCAGGAGGGTCAGACAGCTCAGGTCTCTAAGGTCTGGCCTGGGGGCGGGGCCGGGCCAGGACCAGAACCGCTGGAGGCAGACTGGACTCAGTCTCCAGCTTCTGCAGCCTCTATGGACTCAGCAAGGCAGCTTTGACAGGTAGTGAGCTCCCCGGCACTGGAGGTTTATACGTAGGAACAGGTCACCTGTCAGGAATGGCCGTGAGGGGATGACTGAGGACAGGTGTCCAGAGAATAGGGTCAGAGGCTCAGGACTTCACCTTCTACCCACTGTGTGACCTTGGGCAAGAGAGGTAACCTCCCGAAAGCCTGTTTCTTCATCTCCCTCCCCCAGCTTAATCCAGGCGCTCTGCTGGCGGAGCAGATGGGAGCAGAACCCTGGTGGCAAGTGGAGGCTGACCTTTGATGGGGAGCCCTGGGCATTTCCGTGACTGTGTTCTTGGGAACAAGGAGGAGCCACCAGAGCCACTGAGGGCAGAGAGAGGCCGTGGAGGGTTGGGGAGACTCTGGGGCCCTGGCGCCCACAGAGCGGTGCCCGGCTGGGTGTGAGCCCACAAGCCAAGAGGGGGCCCTAAGATAAAGGCCAGAGAAATGGGCTCTGCCCCCCGGGTGGAGGCAGGCCCAAGGCCCGAGCAGGCCCCAAGCTTCCGTCCCAACGGGCTCCGGCCGGGGTACAAGGGCCACCTGGGACTGAGCCGCCGTCATTTCCTAGTTGCCCTGTCACCTTGGTGGCTGCGCTCTACCCCCAGCCACGTGTCACACGGGGAAGGGGCTGCCTGGAGGTGCCCCCGGTGCTGGAGCAGATGCCCTAGAGAACCAGCCGGTCTCGGGGCCAGCCAGAGGGCCGAGGGGCGTGCGTGGGCTCGGGAGACGAAGGGCCGACGGCTCCAGGCTTCCCAGCGCCCTGCCCCGGCTCCCACCCACACCCCCAACGTCCCCCGTGGCAGTGGGCTTCCAGCAGAATAGGACAGAGGCCCCTGAGGGCGGGAGGCCCGAGCCACAAGGTCCCTGACTCACCTTGTCCCCATCAGCCGGGAAAACCGCCTGCCAGCGTCAGACCTGCGAGTGTGACCGGACGGCCGCCCTCTGCTTCCGCCACCACCTGGGCACCTACAACCGCAACTTCGTCCGTTACCCCAACAAGCTGTGCAGCGGCCCCACGCCGCCCTGCTAGGGCCGGGCCCACCCACCTCATACCCGGCCCCCAGCGGCCCTGGGCAATGCAGACACCAAAGGCCCTCCCTCCAGAAGGTTCCTTTCCCGCAAACCCATCCTTCCCCGAGAGCTCGCGGACTGTGGCCTGGACCATCGCTGGCCTCCCAGGCCACATGCTGCCCTGAGGAAGAGCCAAGGGACCCTTCAGCACCCAGAAGATTCTATCACCCGGCCCTGAGATCTCAGCTCCCTCTTCTGAATAAGTGAATAAGGTTGTCCCATAATTCTAATATTCTCTGATTCTCAGACTCTACTATTATAGGATTTCATTAGTTTATGGTTTCATACACTCACTTTTTCCTTTTTTTTTTTTTTTTGAGCCTCTACCGTGTGCCAGCCACGTGCTGAGCACTGGGGATACAGCAGGAACCCGTCTGACACGGTGGCCCCTGCCCTGCGTGCGATCCTAATATCCTCTCCTTTTCATTTCCCCTTATAGTAAGTTTCTGTGACTCCTTTTTTCTAACATTCTACAATCTTATGCAAGACAATAATGGCAATCTCCAGAAGGAATGTATCTGCCCATATGGTGGAATGTGAGAAGCATGAAAAATACCAACCTAAAAATATTGTCCCCACCATGTCATCGGGCCCCAAATCCCTCCCATTAGCAGCCTGGCTGAGTATGAAAAGAAGCTCTAGAATCATTTTATCCAAACCCCTCCTTTGATGGACAGGCGGCGGCCAGGGGTCCGAGGGGGGAAGTTCTCCCCGAGGGGGATGTCCTCACTCCCAGCCCGTGTGCCTCTGTTTCTTCACGAGCTGGTATCAGCCAGTGATGCTCTGGTACGGCCAGGTGGACCCGACCCTCTGGCTGTCACCTTGGACAGCCCAGTGCTCTGAGAAGGTCTGCTGCGGGGGCGCCCAGGCTGGATCGGGCTCCTGACACAGGGAGGGGAAGAGGACCGATTTCAGCCTCCCAACGTTTGCCTCTGGGGACATGAAGAATTTGATGCACCAGAGGATTCCCTCCCCCCTCCAGCGCCCCACCGAGTGGGATGCAGCCTATCCTGGAAGCTGTGTACTTCCAGCAGATTCTACTAACCATGGACGTGGTATCTCCACCGTCTACAATAAGCTGGTAAAACGGGAAAAGGTGCTACGTGGGGAGGGGACAAAGCTCCCAGCAGACACGCAATAAACATTCACTCTCTTTGTCCTTTTCACGACTTGTGTGCAACTTTCAGGGCTTTGAGGGCAGGAAGGAGCGGGAAGAAATCAAAGGGACGATCATCGTAAACTTTGAAAGGTGAAGACGTTCCGTGTTAGCATAAACCAAGGGGTGGGGGTGGGGGGGTCAGGTGTGCGCGCTCTGCCGCTGTGACTGTGCCAATCCTTGGGAAAGAGTCACCCACCGAAGACCAGGTCTTAAAGCACCTTAAAGCACTGAGTGGGGCTGGGGAAGAGAGCAGGTGCGTTTGTGGGAACCGCGGTCCTGAGGCGCCCTCTGGTGTCTGTTTAGCTCAGGCTGGGGGGGGGAGCCTAAATTCGGCTGAAACCTGGATTGGCCTTCATGGGGTGGGGGCAAAGCAGTTTCTGGGCTAGTGAACTGGGTCCTTTGGCATTGTCGATAATAAATACGCGGAGAGGGGCCCCTGGGTGACGCAGTCGGTTAAGTGTCTGCCTTCAGCTGGAATCGTGATCCCAGGGTCCTGGGATCGAGCCCCACGTCAGGCTCCTGGCTCAGCAGGGAGCCTGCTTCTCCCTCTCCCTCTGCCGCTCCCCCCACCGCTTGCGTTCTCTCTCACTTATCTGTGTCAAATAAATAAATGAAGTCTTTAAAAAAATATGCTGAGAAATAATCACGAAGCCCTCACGAACATCTTAGAGTGACAGGTGCCCCTGCATCAGTGAGCAGCACAGGAAAGGGGAAGGGACTTGGAGAGGGGTCCTGCTGTGGGCGTGATGGGTGTAAGGCAGCAAGCGCACCGGCACCTGCTCACCTGGCAGGTGCGCGGCCATCGGGCACTTAGGAACTAGACCTGGCCTGCAGCCTGTTCTCCCAGTGATCAATAAACGTTCGGTGAATGAATCAGTGGGTCTAAATTCCACAGATGTGTCTGTGGTTGCACACGCGTCATCACCAGCTGCAGCACCAGACTTGTAGAAAGGACTAAAACATCCCCGAATCTGAGGTCACAGCTTCCAGGCCGAGACCCCTCCGCTCAGCCAGTCAGCAACTGTGCATCCGTCCCAGGCCTGCGGCTCCGTGTAGCCCGGGGTCACCAGGGGCATCATCCGGGAGCTTGTCAGAAATGCAGAGTCTCGGACCTGACCCCAGGCCCCCTGAGGCTGAGCCTGTGGGTGAATGAGACCCCCCCCCCGTTGCGGGGGGTTATTGCGTGTTGCGGGGGGTGTATGAACATTAAAATCCAAAAAGCGCTGACAAGTGGCCCGAATAGGAACAATGACGCTTCCCTGGGAGCCGTACCCACCTGCGCCTCATTAGGCCTTGGCTTTCACCAGGCACCGTTCTAAGTGCTGTCGGCTTATTAATTCCCTGAGTGAACCCTGAAATGAAGGAGGCCTGGGGCCCCAGCAGGGCTTACCTGAGCGGTCACGGGCTGCCTCTTCCCAACGTGGACCACGCGATTCGGATTGATTTGCTTTGTTCCCACCACCCCCTAACAAGCCACTAACGAAATGTCTGATTAAATACCTCGCTGAGTGATCAGAAATCGAATCACGTTGGCATTTCCAATTATGATTTCTTCGCGGACATCCGGCGGCTCCTTTGGGGTGCTTGGCAGCCTCACTGCTGGAGAACTGAACCCTGCATTCGTGTTCACTCTTTCCTGCAGTGAACTCGTATGCAGACTCCGCGGCCGGTCCTTGCTGAACGCTGCAGGTGGAGACACGTCAGATGCGGCCAACCGGCGAACAGGCGCTACTTATTCTACACTAGTCAGTGCGTCCACAGAGCAAGGCTAGACTAAAAGGACCTCCATCCTCCAGCCTGTCCCCATCCTGTCCACCGAGGCCAGCTTCATCTTCGCCCAGTTGGACTGTCGCTCCCTCCTCTGTTCCCGAACCGTCAGTAGCTCCCATTGTCCACTAACCCCTGGCGTTCAAGCATGGTGCCATCTGCTTTTCCGGCCTCCTTGAGCCACCCATATATATATTTCTTTATATGGTCCACACACACACACTGACCCTATCCCCCTGCCTTCCAGCCTTCACAGCTCTGTACGAAGCTGCCTTCGGCCTGGAAGCTTCCCTGTCCACATGTGAAAATCCACACACATTAGGTACATCTCAAATGCCCCCTTTTCCATACTTTGCCCTCTGAAGATTTCGCCCTCCTCTGAACTCTCAGGCAACGTGTTTATACCTTTCCTGGTCCACTTACCCCCGTCACTGGGGTCCTTGTCTAGGGTTCCTATGTGTTAGAGGCAGATTGCTGTAGATTCCAAGCCTGCTACCAATCTGTGATCTTGGGCCAGTTATCTATTCCCTTGGGTGTAAAAATGGGGCTAGAACCACCAGCCTCACGAGACGGTTGAATGGTTTAAGTGAGATGACACGTTCAGGGTGCCTGGAGCATTATGGAAGCTCCCTCTCTGCCAGGTCACTGGGTATTTTTGCTTCCCCTACTTCATCCATCACAGTACATGCAAGATAAGTAGCTGTTCAGTTGAATCCATGGACACATGATAATCAGAATTATTTTAGGGAAGTGGCATCATGCATATGATAAAGACTATGCTCATTTATTCAAGTAGCCCCTGGGCTCGTTACTCTGAGTGTTCATTTGTCTTAAACAGACACACATTTGAAAATCATTGACCTTCAGTGCCCGGGGCTGATGTCCTGCAAAGGAAATGGGACAAAGCTGGCTGGAGAGAGCGTGCGCAGCACTGTTCCTGGAGGGCCGCTACCTGTGCTGAGTTCCAAAGTCAGGGCACACCCAGGGGTCAACTCCTGACACCATGAAGCAGTCAGGAGGGGCGAAGTCTGCCTCGGCTCAGGGATTTGCTCAGCAGGCACTGGCCTTCTGGGAACAAAAGCCACAAGACACATGTTTGAGGAAGTTCCCGGTCTTTCCCCAAACTAACGGTATATCCTTAATAAACCTTGTCTTTAGCACATGGGACACCCCACTCTAGGGTTTCCTCCCTATGCCCGTCCAAATGTTGCTTCCTCCACCAAACTTCCCATGATTTCCCTCTGACTTTACAGCCCTCCTAGCAGTACTCTACTTCGTGCGTGTGTGTGTGTGTGTGTGTGTGTGTGTGTGTCCTCCTTCACTCCTGGAAACTTGGAGGATACCTCTATGCCTAGAAATAAGAACCCCTGGACCATGCAGGTTCAGTAAATGTTGGACGGACTCCTGGATGGGTGAATAAAAACAGAGTACCTTGGGGGACTACAAAGTCCCTCTGACACAGGCAGGTTCCGACAAGTTTCTCCAAGCCGGGAAAGTGTTCCTTCTGCCAAGCCAGAACCTATGAAGTGGCAGGACTGGTCTCGGCCCCTTACAAACAAACAAGTTCTAAATCTTGATCCTTTACAACCAGACAGGTCCTCAGTCGCTGAGTCACCACGATCTGAGCGCCCACTTTGTCCAGCGACCCTGCCGGAACCCACACTGGCACAGAGCATCTATGACAAATTTTTATCGTTATCTCAGGGCACACATACTTTCTGTGCATTGGAGGTAATGGCTTGTGGGGTGTCTAGTAAATGGGAGACTGTAAACCTAGGCTTCCAACCCAACTTTCTCCTAGGCCACCATGAAGTTACCAAAAAGGGACACAACAACAGCCACTCTCCCCTTATGTTATCTCGATCTTTGGCATCGTATCATCATTCACCCCAAGTAAGCACTGCTTGTAGCCTGAAGAAAAATGTAGTCGTACTCTGCTCATCCCCTGCTTGGTCTGAGAATGCTTCTCGGCCCTTGCAGCCTCATCCTGTCTCACAGACAGGACCGTACAGGTCACCTGGGCCCTGGCAGGAAGCCCCCTGACCACTGCCCAACCTAGCAGGGTGCCCTGGCCCCCAGGGAATCGCTGCAGGGATGGAATTGAGGCCATGGGAGGTTTCCAGCTGAGGGAGCTCCGAAACTGGGACATCACTTTGGTTCCAGTAGGATCTTACAGGAAGATCACCCATTGGGTTATCAGGGTCCAAAACCCAGGCCTTGTGGGCTCAGGAACTGGACAGGATTCACACATCCAGGGATCCCTCAGTTGTGGACAGAGGTGAAAATCACACGAGGACACTGACAGAGGAGAAACGTACTCACCAATAGCCACATCTTTCATCCAGGTGGTACTGGATACCTTCTGGTACTGTAGAGCCAATTCAAAGGCTGCTTGGGGACTATAAAATTAGAACGAGAGAGAATGGGAGTCCCAGGGCCAAAATCCCAAGCACACCGCAAGCCACAGTGAGACCGCACACCGGCCTGGACCTTGTGACCGGCCAGAGCCCTCGTGTGGGCTGGGCCCTGGGAGCACACAGAACTCCCCACAGGCTGGTTTTCTGCGGCTGCCCTTCTCGCTGCCCTGTCCCCTTCTGAGGACCTCTCCCAGGTGTCTGTACTCTGCTCACAGCTGTCCATGTGTGGCTGGAGGGCTGTGCCTCCTCCTAGAATGGGGTCAAACCAACCCTGAGTTCTAGGAAAACCTCCAGGCGGCAGCTGACAGACAGCTGCTCCACATCTAGACAACTCCAAATTCTCAGAGATGTTCCTAGTATCAGCAGAAATCTTCGGTGTTTCGTCCTCGAGGGCGCCTCTGCCAGCGAGCCTGGTGGCAGCGCTCAGCTGTACACCAAAGCTCGTCGGCTCCTCCACGCCCGGTGAGACCCCTCATGGCCACACCCTCCCGTCTCCCACACAAGGCCTCTAAAAAGACCACTTCCTGACATGCTCTCTCAGGCTCATGCACTCGAATGGCAGTCACACTGGCAAAAACAATGTGAAGCTTTGTCTTTAAACTAGAATTTATTGGTATACAAAACTCCATTTCATAGATAAAGTGGCACATCTTTGCAGCTTCTATTGCACCAAGTATGGAAGATTAAAAACACACAAAAAAAGAAACATTTGGTTTTGAAAACACTGCAAATAGCCAAGTACAGTACTTTGGTAAACAAAAAATAAAATGGTTCAGATGAACACAATCTGTGAAAAGAAACAACTGAGAGGAAATGAACTATGGACATCAGACAATGGTCACATTTCTCCCCATCGAGCTCCAGCAATAAGGCAAGACTTGCTAAGTCTATGGATCGTGACCCCACGGAGGTCTTAAATATCTCCAGACTGAAGCTAGACAAGCATAGTGCAATTAGAAAAAAGAGAAGGTTCCTGAGCCTGCAAAGGCCCGTGCTCTCCACAGACACACCTGCCCTCCTGCACAAGGGGTTCACGCCCACCTGTACTCCTATGTCCGCAAGAGGAACACGCGGGGCTCAAGTCTAACTCCCGGCTCCTCCCTTCCTTCTCACTGAGCTCAGTGCTCCTGGAGGTTGCTGGAAGGGTGGCAGGGGAGGCCAAGGGCCCTTCCCGCCATGGAAAATGAACAAGGAGAGTGGGAAGATGTGGGCAGCCCACCAACCTTCTTCAGGTTTTGGTCAAGGGACCTGCCAGGGGATCAAACCGCAGGCTGAGGCTTCTGGCTGAGTTCTAATGACGGTCCCAGACGGCTAGTCACGGTGACCTGGGAGCTGCTGACATGCACAGGGGCGGGGGCAGACCTCAGATGTTTCGTCCGGGGGTCATCGCCCTCCCTGACGACCAGCACAGTGAGCGGCAGCAGTTCTGTGGCACGGGGCTGCCTTGCTGAAAATAAAGCCACTGTACAGAAATTCATGCTTTTACAGAAACATTCTTTGTGATGATGGCAGCCCCTTCTCCAGCAGCTTTGCAAGGATGTTAACCGTTTTAACCAAGCCAGAAAGCACTCCTAACCAGGAGAGAGAGACTAGGAAGCTTAAAAGATGTGTCTAAGGGCCTGAGGTCACCAGGAGTGAAACCCGGGGCCTGGGCAGGGCAGGGCAGGGCAGCCCACAGGCCCAGCTCCTCACCGTGGGCTGGTCCCTGGGGTGCAGGCGGAGTGCCCCACGCTGTGCAAGCACTTTGTGACTGAGGTCACCACCTCCACTTCACACCAGTCACTCATGCCCCCTTTAATAGGGGACAGCAGGAGATGTCCCTCAACACGCCACCTAGAAGATCTTTGCTTCGACATCAGCGGAAAAATACAATTTGCTTTAGAGTCAGGAAAACACACCTTGTAAAAAAAAAAGTGCCATTGTTAAATCACCTCAGAACAACGGCCAGAAGGCCCCAGAGATTTAGCAGCGTCTGTTCTGAAAGCAGAGGTGAACGAACGGTGACTAGTGAAGACGACCCAACAGGAAAACAGCAGCAGACTCTGAATCTAGGCATTTGCTACAGACATACAGAGCCTTGAGGTAAAAAGGTGAAGAACCACGTGTCTGCTCGAAATGGGGGTCAGAGGGCCCCAGAGGTGACCCATGGAGAGCAAGAGCTCCATTTTCATCCCTTCACTCAGGGTGACCGGTCGTCAGCACGGACTAGAAATGCCAGTTTCCAGTGACCGACCGCACGCTCGAGCTGACCACTTCAGAGGTAAACTGACAGCATTCTATGTTGACCCGGTAAAACCCAGGCAGAGTCTAGAGTTTCTCAGAATGAGAGAAATTGCACACTGACGACAGGGCCTCACCACCAGGACGGTGCAGTGCCCGTCCATCGGATGCCCACCTACTCAACATGCAAGCGGCCCTCCCCCACATCGCACACCCCCGCCCCCAGGACTGCATCACTTCACTCTGTACACCCCTGGGAGCCAGGGCAGGACGCTACCCATGACTTGTTCGAAGGTTCCCGTGATGCACACTCGAGCCGCCCCTCAGGGGAGACCCCAATTCACCAGCCCTCGGGATCAAAATAGATTTGCAAGTGTTTGCAGAGGTTATAAAGAAACTACAGACGACAACCTCAGCCGACGTTCAAGATCCTTCTCTCTGCCACAATCCCTCCACCGGGCTCTGCTCCTAAAAAATGTGTGCACACTACTAAAAAACTAAATATATATATATGTGTTCTCTCTCTCTACTATCTCCCGATGGCAACTGTGTTATTTAGAAGGTTCCACGTTGTTTTACTACATCTACCTCTCTAATACAAAGCTGTTGCCACTAAAATTTTATTTATTTTGACCTTTAAAAAATCTTGTTTTAAAATCCATAAAACCTTTATATACAGTTTATAAGACTACTAAGCAGCTACAGACCACAGCCCCATCCCCTTTCTCCTGACCTCACAAAAAGCTACCGAGACAATTCATGTAACATAAACCTCTAATGGTCATGACACAGCACAGAAGCACCTCCAAACAGGGAGTGCATGTAAGACTACGGTACGGACACTAGTCACTGAGAGTAGTCATCCCAGAACCACGCACACTGGACCTCTGTGCTAGCTGCCAATAAAGTAATCTCCAAGTGTCTACAAGGCAACTAAGTATATGTCTCCCATCTAACTCATACTTCAGTGAGACAGAGGCAGTGAAATCTAAATTCACACCCTTAAGCAGAAGAGATCATGAAGTTGGGTACACGTATCCCATTCCTAATAATTATATTAAATGCAGACCAATTTCAACTGGAAAACTATGAAATGATAGTAAGAGAAAATTACCGAAGCCATATGATTAGTTTTTAAAACCACTATTATTTTAACCCAGAAATGTTGAAGTCTATTATCAGAATTTCCTCATTTGTTAATAAATGTGCCCAATATTCTTTAATAACTTTTTAGCAGCTTCTAGTTAAACCTTTAAATCCCAACAGGCCCAAGACCACCTTCATCAACCACTTAAATAAAGCAAGTCTACTGCTCCTGACAAGGGGTACCCCTACGCTATTTTGGACTCCAAATTCTGCTGAGTTTCTGGCACACAATCCTGACCTGCCCAAGAGGATCTGGTCACCTGCACTCTCACTCTACCAGATAGACAAGAAAGAGTGTTTGCTCAGGAAAGACCGGCCATAGTCACGCAAGTGTCCAGAGGAGAAAGCCAAGAGAACGATCAATCCTCGAGCCCTAGATCTCACTCCCTTGGACACAGTAAGGCAATGGAGGCTCTGCCTCTGCAGGGACTGATTCCTACAGCCTCAGACTCAGGACTCCACAATGTGCAAAGGAAACATACTCCGCACTTTCCAAATCTGCTAACATTACAAAGCACTATACCAGGAAGAAGACCAAACTGCAATGGCCTGAGAGCAGCTTCAAGAAACCAGAAAAAAAGTCACTGAAGTCAACGAACAAAAAATTAAAACACGTCATTAAAACTAAAGAAAGCAAATCATCTGCTGATAAGAGCAATTCAATGAATCCAGGGCCAGCCCAGACAATGATGCACCCATTCACTCAACACTTCTTTATGCTTCTTCCTTCCCCTTAGAACTGTTATAATTCTGAAATCTGAGATGGAGAAGTAACTAATTTACCTTTTGATTCAGCAGATTTTATTTGTCCAAGTACTGGATCCCCAAAAGGCCAAGACTGTCCACGACTGTCCACTTCATACATTCCAGGTTCAAAGTCCTCACCCACTGATCAGCCTTAGGACTGACTTTTCTCCAACTCCCAAATCCGTGTTAGAATTGTGGAGTCACACAGCCTCTGCCCTGGTGGTCTAACCTAAGTCGCTGACAACTGCTAGAGTACACAAGACTTTTTCCAACATCAAAATCCCAGATAGGGCTGGAACAGAAAGAAAGAAATGCAGCATTTTATGGGATTCCATTTTCACAACAGTAAGAAAACTGAGCAACAGGTCAAACTACTTCTCTGAAGGCATCTAAGTCTAGAACAGCAAGGAAGAAAACACAATTACTTAAAACATGAACCTGAAAAGCCTTAGATATGCCTCTGCCCCTACAGCATCAAGTAACTCTTTAGACACTCCCTGTACAAAGACTCAGGAATCTCTTCATTTCTCCCTTTACAACTAGAGGTTCTTCTCTCACACGATCAGAATTACATCATAAGCAGTAACATACTACCTTCTCTGTGTCAAGAAACCAGTACCAAAATCTCAACAACACTACTGATTTTCCAGCAAAGTCCATGCCTAATTAACAGTCGTCAGGCATATTTATCATATGGCTTGAGCGCAGGCAAACCTCACAGCACCTGCATCCCATCTGAAATAGCATCAGAATCAGGAAGGAGAAAAACGTAGGTGTTGAATTTCCACTCTGACTACAGGCCACAACCCCCATATCCTATTATTTTGGGAAAAATACTTCCTGAATTAATTTCTGATTAACTTGAATTCGTAGAAAATTAAATCTAAACATGTTCCTGAGTTGGAGACCGTTTATAAACTATCCTGTATGTGAATATCTGCTTGAAAGTCAAAGAGAAACAAAGGAAACTTGACATTCTGAATTTCTAGCAATTAATCTAAACTACTTGGTGAACAATTACAGCAAAACTCACCCCAAGTGTTACAGAAAAACCCTAGGGTCACTGAACTGATTTTCAGGACAAATAAAACCACACTTAAAAGGTTTTGCCTGAACTATCCAACCCTAGAACTCAATATTTTAATTACAGAACATGAATGGCTTCAGTGAACTTTCATAAAATAAAACACATTACTAACAAAAGTCTGAGCAAAACAGAGGCAGCTTGAAGGAGACTAACTCAGTGTGTGAGCTTGAGTGTGAGTTTTGTGGGTTGTGTGTCTTTGGGGAGAGGACGGCCTCACTGGAGAGCCTGGTACACAGCGCTCCATTTTCCACTGGCTTCGTGCAGCTCCCAAAAGGCCAAAGAGTCAGATGTTGAGAGCAGCAAAGGTCTTCACCAAGGTGACCTGTGTGTTGGCCTCCGCTTCACTGCGGCTGCTGTCCCTATGGCCACTCCGGCTCTCCAGGGCTTTGTGGCGGTGCCTCTCCTCCTGTCGCTTCTTTTTCTCCAGGCGCTGCTGCTCCCGCCTCTGTTTGTTGGTGACCTGGAAAAGAAGGCTGCGGGGTGAGCTGTTGGCACAGGGGACTCAGATGCTGCCTGCTGAAGGGGGCTGCAGGGCTAACGGTTACCAGGTGCACAGACTGCCTCTCAGCAAGAACAGAGAAAAGCCACCTAACAGACCAGAAGTGGTGATTTCCCACCACGGCTCAAATTTACACTTACGTTTCTATCCCCTTGCTGAGCTGGTAAATGAAATCAATTCCATTCTCCTCATAATCCAATACACAATGACCTGAGAAACATTAACCCTGGTTCTGCAAGAGGTAATGCTCCAACATGCCACAGGACACCTTTCTCTACATAATTTAATGCCCCAGGTAATCCTAACAAAATCCTCAGAAGCTTATTGCATCTTTACCTCTGCCTGTGGCTTTTTACATTATGCTGCATGTTGGGCTTAGAACTGCTTGGTTAAAGTCTTTAAAATGAATTCCAAAGTCAGTAAAAAGAATGGTGTCATATACCTACTTGCAGGAGTCAGGGGCAGGGAGGGAGACACATAACCCTTCTGGGAAGCATCTGACAATTTACCAAAAAGCCTTAAAAAGATTCAAATATCCATACCCTTTAATTTGTCCATTCCTCTTCTGGGACTCTAGCCACAAAAAAAACAGTAACAACAATGCAAAATATGTTCATATTTTGAAAATTCATACACAAAGTTTCTCAATGGAGATGACGGCAGTTATGGGGATTGTGTAACAGATTAACACTGAAGCACCCAGACACACAGTGACACTGGGCAGGAAAGGGAGGCTGTGTGTGTGTACACACAGGAGGATTTCAGGGCATAGTTCTATTCAGCACCGCACATAGCAAAACAGACCAGCAAGGACCTCCTTCTGCTTCTTGACATCCCCATATGCACTCTCATATTTTTTTCTAGAGTAACTTCTTTTTAGAACTCAGGAAAAAAAGAGGCACTAATATGAGCTCCAAGTTCCCCACCACTGCCAGTGAATTACAGCAGCCCACCTTTCATACCTTTGGGAGCTGGTTTTTATTTGCTTTGTTTTCTTCACTAGGGCTGGCCCGCTCCTTATTGTTTTCAGTTCTGCCTTCATTTACACCCTGATTTCCAAAGAGTCTGGTGCCACTGCCACCCTCCTCCCATAAAGGGCCACACTGCTTCAGAACTCGGCCGCCGGACTCAAGGTTCTCCTCTGTATCTTCCAAAGAAAGGTATTTAATTAAAATTGAGAATGTAACAACACACACTGTTAAGTGACTCCAATATCACCTGTCATGTGGAGAACAAGTTTCCTTGGAGCAAAATTCTAACACCCAGACAATACAGTAGGGAATCTAGTGGGGAAATAACCAGTAGTATCTGGAAGATAAATTTAAAAATAACCTGCTGACCAGCCTAATCATCAGCTTCCCACCTACAGAGTGTTTTATTAAACTATTTTTTAACATGTATTTTTAGGAGGAAATCCTTCATTTGCACCTAAAGCCCAGAAAGGAAACAGGCTTCAAACCTATACTGCCCAAAACAGCAGCTACCAGCCACATGTGGCCATTTAAATTAAAATTAATTAGTTAAATGATATTTAAACTTTAGTTTCTTACTCACTGAGCCACACATGTCCAATACACACTATACTGAATGACAGAGACACTAGACAGTGCTGTTTTACTGTCACAAAGACCAAGTCCCTGACAGCTAAGAAAGCACAGCAAAAATATAAAGAGGATAATAAAATACTCAAACACACAGAAAACTATAATGCCAGGAACAGTACCTGACACATACTGGCAATATGTATTTTGTATGTGGCAATACTGTACCATTTTAATAAGTAACTTGTAAAAACAGTTAAGACTCTACATCTTTTTTCCCATCTCCTGAGGCACAGAATTTAACCCAGTTCAAGTAAAAAAAAATCCGGGATGCCTGGGTGGCTCAGGGGTTGAGCGTCTGCCTTTGGCTCAGGGTCTGATCCCGGGATCCAGGTACGAGTCCCATATCAGGCTCCTTGCGGGAGGCCTGCTCCCTCTGCCTGTGTCTCTGCCTCTGTGTGTGTCATGAATAAATAAATAAAAATCTTAAAAAAAAAAAAAAGTAAAAAAAAAAATCCTGATTTATCACCAGCTGATAGATGCTAGTATGTAAATATTTCCGTTAGAAAAATAAGTTATTTCTCTCTCTATTCTATTTCAGTTATCATTTTGGTTTTCTAAGGGATTTTTCTTTTGAAAAGAATAAAGTCTTCCCTGACACTCTCCATCCCTCCAAGACTGGTTAGGTGGCCTATCCATCCATTTCCCCAGTTCCCTATACCCCCAACTCCAGTAGGTATTATTATACCAGTTTATTATCTCCCCTCTGCCCCCCTCAACTCCAGATTATCTTCTCCCTAAGGCAGGGCTAGGATCTCATACAACATGCCCACACGCAGAAAGTGATAAATGACAGTGTAATCACTACCTATGCCTTGATTAAAAACAAATGTTTGGAAAATCACCAATACAACCATTTTGAAAGCTTATAAATATCAATCATGGACTTACTATTTCTTTTCCCCTGGTTCATCTGAAGCATGGCAATTATTGCAGATTCAATATTATAATTTTCAGCTTCCAGGTTCTGGACTATCAAATTAAAATCCTATCCAAGAAACAAAGGAACACTTCAAGACTGGGTATACTCTTCTACCTGCCTCTACGTCAACAACCTAATACACAAGAAGAGGTAACAGTGAGAATTGGGGCATGGTTTCAAGACCTTTTCCATTTAGAAAATGTCTTAATTTTCAATAAGGCTGGTCATCTGAAATAACTAACCATTTAATATAAATGAATTCCTTTACAAGACTGTACTTTTACTAGGGTAAATGTTTAGCTAGTCAGGAAAAAAAAATAAAAAATAAAAAAATAAACCCCACATACTTCCTTAGGATTTTGAGCAGTACTGGGTAAAGTCTAACAAACAAGAGATAAATGAATAAACAGCTCTCCTTTAAGTCTTCTAATCAAACCACAGACATCATGAACCTACTCTGGCCCATCGGGTGTGAGCAGCTAGACTGGTACTACGAAACTGGCAGGTAAACTAGGGATAGCAACGGTTGTTCATCCACTGTCATTACTACAGGACAGAAATACTCACTGAACAACCAGTTGCATTGCAAACTTTCTGGACAGCATCTTCTACTTCATCTCTCAGGTCATCTTCAAAGTCAATGCCCTTCATCTTGATCTTTTCCCTTTTATTTGATTCATCTTGATGAAGCATCTGAAACTAAAGGAAATATAAAGAGTAATAATCATGGAACATACAAATTATGTTCAGCATCTTCAACACAGGAAGACATTCAAATTTCAAAATCATTCTAATATATATTTATGTGGAAAAGATTCCAGGAACAATCTTAAGGACTAGTAATGACTAGGCTAAATTTCATCCAGACATGGAGATTCCAAAACCACAACAGAAGTATGAAAAAGAAAGAATCAAGAAATAGGATAAACTGTAAGAATAGCATTAGCATTCCTATGTAGTTCCTAGATATCAACATTCTGCAATCAGCACACATTTGTGTCAGCTGATTTCCAGAGCTGGGAGCTTAGTAACAGAAGCTCACCCAGTGACTTCTGCAGCAAGACAAGATGTCTTGAAGAAGCATTCATACATCTCTCATCTGGGTCCCTAGGCCCTATCTGACTATCAGCAAGCTTCAGTGTGCTGAAGCTCCTGTCCCAGCTGGACAGTCTCAGGTGAGTATGACTCATCTAACCTCACCCGACGTCATGTAACCACATGCAAGGGAACCTGGCCATCCAAATTCTAAAAACACAAAGAACAGTTCACATGGTATCCATAAGGCCTTTCCCAACCTAAGCTTATTAAGAATAGCTAAAATCATCCTTCTGGGGCTGATCAGCCACCTTCTCCCTTCCTTTCCCACTAACATGGGTAGATGGAAAATAGGCAAGGACAAATTCTTATTCGTTTGCATGCAAAAGTATAAGCGGAATCCAGCAGTGCACAGTCCATTCCTTACAATCAAAGCCATCCATTATAAAATTATACCCAAACAGCCTGGCCATATGTATCAAGTCTTTAAAATTTATCCAAAGGAAATAATGTCAAATCATGTCAACTATAGAAAGGATTCATGTAAAAGTGCTCACCACAGCGCTTCTAATAGTGGTGAATACCTGCAAACAACCTGAGGATTTCACGGTGTGTGGATGGTTAAATAACCATGGAAAATCCACACAATGATGCTTCATTTCCATTAAAGTAAGGAGCTCAATAAACATTTTCACTACCATTATTATTTAACAATGTTTTGGAGGTAACAGCTGATGCAATTAGCCCTCCTGGCCCCCAAAAAACAAAAGTATGAAACTGAAAAGGAAGAAGAAAGATTACCATTATTTGTAGATGATATAATTCTATACCTAAAAAAAAACAAACAAAAAAAAAAAAAAAACACAAGAGAATCAACCAAAAACCTACCACAAACAAAAAGGATTCTGGCAAATCATATATAAGAATCTAGTATACAAAATATATAAAGAACTCTCATAATGCAACAACAAAAGCACAAATACCACAATTAAAACATGGGCAAAAGACTTGAACAGACATTTCTCCAAAGACAAACAAATGGCCAACAAACACATGAAAAGATGTTCAACATCATTAGTCATTAAAGAAATGCAAATCAAAACCATGAGATTACACTTCATACCTAGTAGGATACCCATAATTTTAAAAAGATGGAAGGAAAAAATAACAAGTGTTGGTAAGAGTGTGAAGAAAGTGGAACCCTGAATACAGTGCTGGTGGCAATGTCAGATGGCACAGCTGCTATGGAAAACAATGTGGCAATTCCTCAAGAAGTTAATAAACACATGACCTAGCAATTCTACTCCTGGGTACGTATCCAGAAGACTGAAGAAAGGGACCTTAATATACTACACCCAAATATTTGTAACTGCACTATTCACAAGAGCCTAAAGTGGAAATGACCCAAATGCTTATCAAGAGATGAAGGGATGATGGAACGGGTTCTATCCACACGATGGAATAGGATTCACTCTTAGAACGGAATGAAATACGGACATCTGCTTCAACATGGACGACCCTTGAAAACATGATGCTAAGTGACATAAGCTAGTCACAAAAGCTCACATACTATATGATCCCATTTATGGAAAATATCCAGAACTGGCAAATCCACACAGACATAAAGCAGACTGGTGGCAGCTCAGGGAGAAAAGGAATGGGGAGTGACTGCTTTATTAGCACGTGGTTTCCTACTGGGTAAGGAAAATGTTCTGGAACTGGATGGAGGAAGGAGCTGCACAGCTTTGTGGGTGTACGCAGTGACACTACATCGTACATTTTAAAATTATGTGGGTGGCACCTGGGTGGCTCAGTCGGTTAAAGGTCTGACTTTTGATCTCAGGTCTTGATCTCAGGCTCCTGAGTTCAAGCCCTGCAGTGGGCTCTATGCTGAGCATGGAGCCTACTTATATATATATATTTAATTTATTTATTTATATTTAATTTAAATTTATATATATATAGTTAATTTTATGTTACATGAATTTTATCTGAATTTATTTTTTTTTAAAGATTTTATTTACTTATTCATGAGACACAGAGAGAGAGAGAGGCAGAGACACAGGCAGAGAGAGAAACAGGCTCTATGCAGGGAGCCCGATGTGGGACTCAATTCCAGGACTCCAGGATCACGCTCTGGGCCAAAGGCAGGTGCTAAACCGCTGAGCCACCCAGGCATCCCAATTTTACCTGAATTAAAAAAAAAAAAAAAAAGAATTCTGTAGGATAGCTGGGTGTGCACAAAATTAACATTTTATTAACAACTCTCATATACACAAATGATAAGCAGCTAGGAAATAAAAAGGAAAGATTCTTTCCTTACAATAGAAACAAAAAAACAAAACACCTAAGAACAAACTCTGCAAAAAATGGGCAAGATCTATAGGAAGCAAATGCTCCTCAGATCACCAAAAAAAGTCAATTAAACAAAACAAAACAAAAAAGGCTTATCAGTCTCTTGGCTAGGAAGATTCAACCTCATAAAGATGTCACTTTTTCCTGAAGTTAATCTATCCATTTAATGAGATCCCAATAAAAACAAAATCAAGAGGACTTCCTTTTAACTTGACAACCTTATTCTAACATCTATACGTAACACATAAGAAAAGGAAGAATATACAGGAAATTATAAAGAAAGAAAAGTAGTGATAAGTGAAAAATTCTACCAGATTTTTTTTCAAGATTTCACTTCTTTGAGACACACACACACACACACACACACACACACACACACACACAGAGGGAGAAGCAAACTCCCGGCCAAACAGGGAGCCCGACGCGAGGAGCCTGACGTGGGACTCGATCCCAGGATCCAGAGATCACCACCTGAGCTGAAGGCAGATGCTTAACTAACTGAGCCACCAGGTGTAAATCTCTATCAGATTTTAAAATATGCTCTTAATCAAAACAACAAACAAATTAACACATGAACAGAGAAACCAGTGAAATAGAACCAACATCTAGAAATAGACCCAACTACATATGGGAATTTTATATGCAAAAAAAAAGTGGTATTTTAAATCAGTGGAGAAGATATGTAATAATCAAATGGTTTGGATACAACTAGATAAGTAACCACAAGGAAAAATATAAAGTTGAATCCATACACTCACATACTTATGGGAATATAAATTCCAAAGAGGTACAAGATACATAATTTTCTTTGAAAAAAACAAAACCACAAAAGTGGTTTTTTCTTTGAAAAAAACAAAACCACATAAACTATAGAATTCTTTTTAACCTCAGAGTATGAAAGACCTTTCTAATTATGACCCAAAACTCAGAAGACATATGTAAAAAAATAAATAAAATAAAATAAAATAAATAAAATTTAAAAACCTGATATTTAACCTCATAAAAACCTAAAACACCACAGCAAAGATTGTTGGAGAAGGAATAAAAAGACAAATGGACAGACTGCAAAAAAATATTGGCAGATCCTACCACAGACAGGGCTTAATATGTAAAGGCTCCTGAAAAATCACGTAAAAAAAACCAAACAAGGGCAGCCCCAGTGGCTTAGCAGTTTAGCGCCACCTTCAGCCCAGGGCATGGTCCTGGAGACCTGGGATCGAGTCCCACGTTGTGCTCCTTGCATGGAGCCTGCTTCTCCCTCTGCCTGTGTGTGTGTCTCTCTCTCTATCTCTCTGTCATAAATGAATGAATGAATGAATGAATGAATGAATAAAAGAAATCTTAAAAAAAAACCACACAGGAAAAAGAATGGGTAAAGAAAATGAACACAGCTCACAAAGAAAGGAAATACAAATAGGTTGTAAACCCAGGAAAAGATGCATACACTCACTAATAAGAGAACCACAAATTAAAACCGTTAAGGAAACAATCTTTCCTACAGCACTGACAAAGGTTGGAAAATGTGGCGCCACGTTGCACCAGCAAAGATGCAGGAAGAGATGTGTGACAAGAGTGGGAGTGCAAACCGGTAAAGCCTCCACAGACAGCAGTTTGGCAATACCTGTCACAATTATAGATGCACATGTCCTTTGATGCAGGAAGGACTTTCTAGGAATCCATCCCACAGGCCCACTCGCACAAGTGTGAGAACATGTGTATATATAAGGGCACCACATGTTGTTTCTAAAAGCAAAAGCATGAAAAGGGCCTCAAAGTTCATCAGGGAGACTGGTCAAACACATTACAACACTACGTAGCCTTACAGACCACCATGAGCAAAACTCCAGGCTAGGAGCAATGTGAAAGGCACAGTACACAAGAGTGCATGCAGGATGCTACAACCGGGGGCAGGCAGTGTGTAAAGACAGCAAAAGTGGAATACACATGCAGACATGCACACATCGGCTTGAGATGGGAAGTATCCCCAGGAGATTTTATGGCATGCTGATAATACTGGTTGCATTCAGGCAGGAGAACAAGGTTGGAAGAGCAATTTCATTTTATTTTTGAAATTATAAAGAAAGCTTATAATAAAGTTAGAAGAGGCTCATAAAATCATGTTAGCTGAACACAGCAGGAAACACAGCTACGTAAGAATCAAAACGATAACAAAAACTGTGTCCCTGTGGTTGACTCTGTATAATTTTTATTTTCTCCCCTTTTTCTGTGCTTTCTGAACTTCAGATATGAAGCATGGATTAATTTTAAAACACAGAAGTAATTTCAGAATTTTATATAAATTCTATTCATGCAGTCAGTCATCAGCTATTCGGAAGAGCAAAAGAATGACAATTTTATCTATCATTGAGGTTAAAAAAGTATTTTCAAAATCAAGCCTACAGATTCTTAAAGACAACTTTCCCTAAAAATATCACTGGTTTGGGGGCACCTGGGCAGTTCAGTCGGTAGTGTCCAACTCTTGCTTTTGGCGCATGCTGTGATCTCAGGGTCGTGGGATCAAGCCCTGCATAGGGCTCCACACTCAGCGGGGTATTGGTTTTAGGTTCTTTCCCTCCTGCTCCCTCTGCCCTTTCCCTCACTCACACATGAGCTCATGCTCTCTAATAAATAAATAAAATCTTAAAAAAAAAAAAATCACTAGTTTTTAGCTCCAGGGCATACAGCTCTTGACCTGGTTCCTCCAGGGCTGAGAAGGGAAGAAAATAGGGGCCTCACTCACATCAGTCTGGAGGTGTGCTGGGGCTTCCGAGTTGTCATTGAGCCTCCGAACGCTGTCATAGTGCTCTCCGCACCGATATGCAATATGTAACTCCCGCACACTGCTTTTCTCCGTGCCACGAATCTGCAGGCAAAGAAGGGAAGACAGATGCCAGCGAGGATCTGGACAGTGTCAACTGAGGGAGGGAAATGCCCCCTGTGTTATCCGGGAAGCCCAGTCAGCAGGCTCTATGAAGACAGGAATTCAGGATAGGCCCGGATGTGCCAGAGGGCTGGGCCAGAAGAACAGGTATTGGACAAGCATCTGCTACGAGAGATTTGGTGCTACACACCTGGACTCTGGGCCCTGTTTTTAGCCTCTGATTTAATTTGTGGGGAAAAAAATAAAGACTTTCTCTTAAAAAAAATAAAATGCTTAGGCAACTTCTGAATTCTTTCTCCCACCCATGTCATGTATGCTTCAATATGCTTAACATGTAACTATACAGAAATTCATCCACATGAAAACACATAGTCAAAAGCTGGGGCAGACAGACAAGGAAGTTAAAGAAGCTTATGCTTCAGAGGCATCTGCACCCCTCAGCCCCTCTACACCCAGGCCATTTCTAGGATGGAAGGCCCAGGGCCAGAGGCATATTTGTTCAGCTTGAATCTCAAACAACTTGCAGCCCTCTTTGAGAAAAAGAATACAAAATTACAAATATTAAATTGCTGGAACCCCTCCCAAGACCTTGAAAGGCGACTATAAAAATGGGGGACCTGACACTCATGTTTTACTGGCTTCACAGTAAACCCACTCATCATTAAAACAAAAATGGCATTTTCCATCAACTACATACAAAGAAACATTAACAAGAACAAACTCAAAAATCTCCCACTTATACCAATTTCAAAACAATATTAGACAGTACTACCACAGCACACAACCCTGAAGGCCCTGCTCCCAAGGTAGTCTATGTGAATGGTACCCACGGAGCACAGCCCGACAAGAATGGTGTCCCCTGGAGTCGTGCCGTACAGAAGCCCTAATGGCCAGCCTGGGTTTGCCCCTAAGAAACCACCACCTCCACAGAAACTCTGAAGCAATTCCCAATCTCTGCCTTTAAAAGCCCAGTAACTGTTTCTTTGTTACAACTCCAAAACATCAGCACCTCCTTCTTGTTTCTACTCAAAGTCCTAGGAAGATACTGCCCTTATAATTCAAACAGTATCTGCTCTAAAAACACAGCAAAAGCCATGGAACAGGCAGGAACCAAGCAAGTCTAGCCGTCAGAACCACAGAAATTTTCTCCAGGTAGAATGCTTAGGTCTCAAAGTACAGAGAGTCTGGTTTTGACACATAATAGAGTGAGTACCATTTACCTCCCAGGAAGAGTACTAGAAAAGGAAAACTAGAATCAATTAGAAAACTAGTTGATTAGAATCTTTGAATGACATTATCCCTAAAGCACGCACTTATTTAAATAATAGTACTATATACACATTACGAATAGGAAAAAAAAAAAAAAAAAGCCTGGAAAAATAGTCACCAAATTGTTAACTGTGATGTTACAGGGAAAGAGATTACGGGGAACTTTTACTTTCTACACTACAGGAGTCTACACTATTCACAGAAGCATATATTCCATGCGTAACCAGGAAACGATGCAGGTTTCAGTATCCCCATGTTGCTAGTGCAAGCCTACTCATTATTCATGCAAGAGCTCTTACCCAAAACAGTAGCAACCAATGTAGTTTCAATTCTTAAATTTTAGAAAATGCTTCAATGAGGAGTGGGAAGATGGAGGAGATCCAGTGCACAGTTCCATTGTACAGGAAATATATTTATTTTAAAAACATATAGTTTCAATGTTTTGCAATGCATGAAAAAAACACTACAGAAATGTATTTGGGAAAAAAAAAATTAACTATGAAGAAATTATCTTCCACAACTACCTAGATAACCAAAAAACCTTAAACAACAGTTATGGGGGCCCTTAGATGGCTCAGACAGTTAAGCATCCGACTCTTGATTTCAGCTCAGGTTGTGATCTCAGGGTTGTGGGATCGAACCCTGCATTCAGTGCAGTCTGTTTGTCCCTCTCCCTCTGCTTCTTCCCCACATTCTTTCTCTTTCTCTCAAATAATTAAATAAAATCTGTAAAAAAATAGTTATCAGTGGAGGGAAAGGGAGGCTGTGGTTACTAAGTTGGCACAGAATATTTCTCTTCAAGAATAGGGTCATTATGCTATATATTCAAATGATCGCGATGACTTCTGCTAAACAATAAAACATTAATGACAAAAAATTGGGACAATGACAAATTGGCTCTAAGAACATCCTTAGAAAGAGAGTATCTCACAAAATATTACAGTGTTCTCTAGTGTCAGTACATCTGACAACACTGTCCCAAAAAACAATACACATACAATCACTGTCTCCCTATATCTTGCACCAACCCACGGAGTATCTAATTTATTCTGTTGTAATATAATTTTGTTAAAGGATATTATGATAGGTGCAAAAGACTGTATACTTCCATTTATATGAACATTCTGAAAAGGCAAAACTGTTAAGAGACAAATCATACATTATATTAGTGGTTACAAGAAACTAGGGATGGGGGAACTGTGACACAAAGGGGCATGGGGTGACTTTTTGTAGTAGTGGAAATATTCTGTGTGTTGACAGCGGTGGTAGTTATGTGACGGACAAAAACATAGAAGTTTATAAAGGTGAATTTTACTATATGCAAATTGTCTCTATAAGCTTTACTTTTAATGAGCAAAGGCTAGAAATAAACAATTTACAAAGGAATATTATATGCAGGTGGTATATTTAAAAATGAGGGAAAAAGGGGCACCTGGATGGCTCAGTGGTTGAGCATCTGCCTTTGGCTCAGGTCATGATTCCAGGATCCTGAGATCGAGTCTCACATCAGGCTCTCTGCATAGTGCCTGCTCCTCCCTCTGCGTATGTCTCTGCCTCTGTATCTATGTCTCTCATGAATAAATCAATAAAATCTTTTTTTAAAAAAATGAAAAGTCATCATTATCTTTATGATAACAGAGATACATAAGTATCTACACATATACATGAATGTGTCTACATGTGTGTAGATGTGCTTCAAGTATGTAAGAAACCACTTACATGTGATTTACAAGTGATACATCCCTTCCTGGTTGTGTATGAATGTTTCTAGCTAACAGTATATATGAATGCCAGGAATAGACACTAAAATGTTAACAGTAATAATCCGTGGGTAATGAGACTCTGGGTGATTTTTATTTGCTTTTATGGGCTTTTCTGAATTTTCAAATTTTTCTATGATTAACGTGTTTTAGCTAATTTAAAAGAAAACTTAGAAATGGAAGAGTGATGGGAGGAAGGGATGGAGGACTGATAGAAATCCTACGCACAGTCTTTAGGAGCTGAGCCACAACATGAGAAGCAGTGCTCTGAATGCAAGGATGAAGAGTAGGGGCTGGTAGCCTGCAGAACACGTTCCCCCTGACCTGTGGCCCTCCACACTCCAGAATGCCTGGTTTGATGGACTTTCGGGGGAGATAAGGTTAATTTAGGATACCAAAGGTAAAGAAAGGCGAAAACAGTTGGATGGGCCTGTATTTCACGACAGGGGTTAAGGAACCATCCTGAACGTATGTTGTAAAATCTAACTTGCCATAGAGAAACCACTAAAGCCATTCTGTATGGCTAGACAGAGCACAGAAAAAGAGCCTGACATCCAAGGCTATGAAATAAATTTTGTTATTCAGAACACGCTTTTTAGCAATGCTTACTAAAGTGCATTTGGTTCTTGTCTCCCTCCACCTAAAATAACAAAACATACACATGGGATAGACGTACCTACAACCAGAATTCATAGTCATTAATTCTCTAGATTTCCACTGTACTTTTTCACAAAATTATCTAAAGTATTTCCATATTAGGCTCTCTGCCCTCAAATTACCCAGTTAACTGACTTGGGGTGTGTATGTGAATTTTTATATTTTTTTTAATTTTTAATTTAATTTTTAATTTTTTTTTAAGATTTTACTTATTCATAAGACACAGAGAGAGAGAGAGAGAGAGAGAGAGAGAGAGAGAAGCAGAGACACAGGCCGAGGGAAAAGCAGGCTCCCTATGGGAGCCCGATACAGGACTCAATCCCAGGACTCTGGGATCACGCCCTGAGCCAAAGGCAGATGTTCAACCACTGAGCCACCCAGGAGTCCCTACAGTTTTTATTTAAAGTCAAGTTAGTTAACATAGAGTGTAATATTAGCTTCAAGTGTACAATTTAATGATTCAACACTTCCGTAAGATACCTGGTAGTCACCCCAAGTGCCCTCCTATATCCGCATCACCTTGCTGAATAATACTGCTAACCTTTTAAGGTCTCTGACTTCTACTTCAGACTCCATATTACATAGCACAGGGTTTAATTCCAAGCCCCCAGCAGCTTCCTGGCTGTGGTTAGGCCTGCAGTCCAAGTGACCCTATACAGTTCAATATCACCATCTTAGGACACTCCCAATGCTTATTTGTAAATAAGAGCTTAAGATAAGTCCCTCAGTAGGTGACCTACCTGCCACAAAGGGGCATTAAGTTGATGAATCACCACATTCAACTGATGATTTCTTGCAAAGGCTACGATTGCATCATTGCCAGCAAAGGTGCCAGGCTTTGCCAAACTGGCCACTGCACAGAAATAGGAGAGAGAGAAATGAACTCTTTATAATGGAAAAACCCAAATGTAAACATGCTTTGGTATCTGCTTAGTTCTAAATGGTAAGAAATGGAAGGATACATCTGAGAAGTCCATTAGCTTAGTCAGAACTAGGAATTCAGCTGGTTGAACAGTACATCAACTGCTACTCAGAGTACCAATCATTCATAAAGAAAGGAGTCATTTCTTCCTTCATTAAATAGTTACTGACTGCTTCCTATGTTCTTAATTCTGTAAGAGACATGGAAACGGGACAATAACCAGAGTAACTTTCAGTTTGCTTGATGAGTGTTATCATGTATTAAGCATGGCCCTATTCACTTCTAGATGATTACTTTTAATCCTCAGAACTCTGAAAGAGGTATCATCATGCACCACCTAATAGATAAGGAAAGCAAGGAACAGAGTAGTTTATAATAATACCCGAGGTCACAGAGCCAGTACACAGCAGAGCTGAGATTGCATCCCAGGCAGCCTGACTCCAAGACCTGGCTCTTGGCCACTCCATTACGCAGCCAGTCAGTTTGAGTTCAAGGAGTCTACAACCAACAGGGGACAAACAGCAAGAAAATAGGCACCAGTGATGCATAAGTGCTGCAGGAAAGGGATATACAGTAAAGACCTTAACCTTGCCCAGAGAGGTCAAGCCTTTGTCCCTGGCTCCTGAGTAAGAACTCCTAAACCCTTGAAATTTCCCAAGTGAAAGGATGATGGGCCCCTTGGCCACATTTGACAGTTTATGCAAAGGAGGTGACTCAGAGGGGGCCTCTCTGGCCATGTGATGTTAGGAAAACCTGGGGGATTAGGAGCTAGATACTGAGTGTAACCACTTAGGCAATTAACATTAACAACTAATCCATAATGAAACCCCAATAATCCAAACAAGAAGTTTGTGTATGACAATATTCTGTGACTGTGTAACCTGCCCAGACCTACCCCTTGTTAATTTTGATCTGCGTCCTTTCCTTGTAACAAACTATAACTGTGAGTCTAATAGCCATCAGTGAGTTCCAAGTCCTACTAACAAATTATTGAACCTGAGAGTGGTTTTGGGAAACCCCAAATTTGCAGTTGGTATCAGAAGAGACGGAAGTTTTGTGGAAGACTGCTCTCAGACCCTGTCACTTGGCTAACTTCAGATCAGGACCACAACCCAGTCTGGTAGTAGGAGAGGGAGGTACGGTGAATCAGACGAGCTTCTCAGCTGAGACAACTGCACTGACACCCAAAGGGCAAGTAGGAGACAGACAGAAGAGTAAGAGATGGCATTCAAAGCAGAGAATGAGCTTGCATGCTGTACAGTACATGGGAACTTGGGACTGCTGAGAGCTGCGGGGGGTGGGCAGGGAAAGGGGGGAACAGAACAGAGCGGGAAGCAGCAAGAGACAAGGGTGGGGAAATAAGAAGAGCTGAAGAGTTTGGACTTTATCTTCAGGTCAGTAGGGAGCTGCCAACAGATTTTACATAGGGGAGGGATGTCTTAGATGTACATTTAGATCACCACTCTGGCTGCAACTTGGAAAACAAACTAGGGGGTCAAGAGGCAATGGAATCAGTCCAAAACGTATCGAGGAAATCTAGGCAAATGGCCACCGAAGCTGGATGTTACGAGGGAGCAATGAAAGAAAAAACATTGAGGTAGAAGTGACAAGACTTAATGAACAATGGGGCAGGAGCAGGGACTTCAAAGAGCTGAAGGGGCCAGGGTCTAAAGGAAAGGAATAATTCTAAACAATACAGCCATATGCCAGGGCAACCAGGCCCTAAACAGCTAAGTGAGCCATTCATTTGTTCACTTTACAAATATCTTCTGAGTGCCTATCATGTGTCAGGCATTAAACATACATTAACTACAAGAGTAATAATAGTAAGTCTAGGCTTCCACTGACCTGCAAATGGAACATGCAGACTTCACGGTTTCCTTTCATTCTCATTCTGTGATGGCAGTCAGAGCCACCTCTCAGGCTTTTGATGCTCAAATTCTTACAGAGAACCAACCAACCATCAGGCAAACACAGTGGCATTTCAAAAAAACACCTTCCCGCCATACATCTATAGTGACTCTCACACTAGCAACTGCCAGCTTGGGTCCCTTGTCCTGCCACACCCCCAAATCTGCCATGCGACCTCCACCGCAGAGATTCACAGTGGAATTTCCAGTCACAAACTGAAATCTCTCAACATCCATAATGGTATTTTAATTGAACCAATGACACAATTCATTTTATATAGCACTAAACTGCAAAACTTGGCCTATAGACCCACACTTGTAAACAGCTGACCATCTGGTAACCTGGTACCTGCTCAAAAAGTGAGCCAGAGGAATCACTGAGAACTGAACTCAGTGACTGGGTGGGTAGGGTGCTGCTGTGTCCCTTTGCCTCTGGCACCTAATGAATAAGTCCTTTCCTACTGAGGAATGAGGAAGGCTTTGGGGTCATAGACAGTTTCCTTCCCAAAGGTCTTCCTCCTGTGGCCCTCCATCTTGATAGAGGATACAAGGATACAGCTACCTAGCCATTCTCCAGAACTTTCAGATTCACCTTTGTCTCCTCTTCCCCCTCCCCTCCTCCCCATCTCCAATGAGGCCTATCAATTACACTGTCAACTGTGTCTTGGTTTGCACCCTACTCGTCACCCCAGGGAGCTGATGGAGACCCTCTTATTCTTTCATCTGGCCAATGTGGAGAGCCTTCTAACTCATCCTCCTTCTCAGTCTCTCTCTGCCCATGCTTTTTTTTTTAAAAAAAAAAAAAAAGATTTTATTTATTTATTCATGAGAGACAGAGAGAGAGAGAGAGAGAGGCAGAGACACAGGCAGAGAGAGAAGCAGGCTCCACGCAGGGAGCCCGACGTGGGACTCGATCCCAGGTCTCCGGGATCATGCCCTGGGCTGAAGGCGGCGCTAAACCACTGAACCACCCAGGCTGCCCTCTCTGCCCAATCTTGACAGGATTTCCAGAGTTAGTTCTCTAAAACACACAACAATTCTGCCGCTTTTTAATAAGGGTATTATGTGAGCCCTATGATGAAAATGTTAGCTATAGAGCACCAATATATCAACACCTCATTTACTAGATCCTTAAAGGTTTTTTTTTTTTTAAGGTTTTATTTAATTATTTGAGAGAGAGAGAGAGTGCACGCGCATGAGCAGGAGGAGAGACAGAAGGAGAAGATACCCTGCTGAGTAGAGAGCCCGATGCAGGGCTCGATCCCAGGACCCTAAGATTATTACCTGTGCCAAAGGCAGATGTTAAACCAACTGAGCCACCCAGACGCCCGATCCTTAAAGTTTAAAAGCTCAAATGTACTAGGGCACCTAGATGGCTCAGTCAGTTAAGTGTCCAACTCTTGATTTCAACTCAGGGTCATGATCTTGGGGTCCTGGGAATAAGCCCCGCGCCAGGCTCTGCATTCAGCAGGGAATCTGCTTGTTCCTCTCTCTCTGCTCATCCATCTTTGTGCTCTTTTTTTCTCTCTCCCTAAAATAAATAAATAAAGATATTTTAAATAGATTTGAGCTAATTTAAATCACTAATTGACTTGCCTCAAAGAAAAGTGGTTGTGTTTGGGTTTCTGGTGAGAAATTAAAATGACTATTGCTTTTTCTGATTATAAAAGCAATAAGTGGTCATTTTAAAAATCAGAAAGATATGCAGAAGATCATTTAAAACCATCATATCCCGCCATCCCCAGATGGCTGATATTTATTAGGAATTTAATTGTATTATCTAATTTAGTCTGTACCAAAAACCCTATAAATTAGGTGTTATTATTATCTCCAAGTTAGGTGCTATTATTATCCCCAATTTCAAACCAAAGTGAGTGGTTTCTGAAAAATAAGCGGAGCCAAGAATTAACAACCATAAAATGTTAGTACCTATCCACTTTCCCCTTGTGTGTTTCTGTGTACGTACACCTTTCAAAATGAAGATCAGTCTATGTAACATTTTATAGGCTGCTTTTACCCCTCACTGAATAAAGAAGCCCATAAACAGCTTTTCAGGTTAATTAACATCATCATTTTTATTAAGGGTACAGACACCTAAAACTATTGATTCCCAATTGCCTAGCATGCTGCCTATTACAGAGCAGACAAATAAATAGTTGTTGAATAAATGAATGCCATAATTTATGCAATCAAACCCCTGGCTGGGAGGGTGGGGAATGCTGATGGATTTAATTACCCAATGCATTACTCCTGGAGGATCCAGTGTCCCACGGTGAACCTACCATGTTTCTCAAAAGGAATGTCATCTTCTACAAAGGGTTCAAAATCTTCCCGCTGCTTTATCATGTAATCCACTGTCTCTTGTCGGTGCTTGAGATGATTTCGTGAGTGTCCCTCCAATTGATCACCAAGTGCTCTGAATAGGCAATTGCTATCAAAACAAAAATGTTGGTCAAGACCTTTTAGAAATGAACTTAGTTCATCTGAAGCAATGATGCTTCGTGTAAGGCCACCCATGGAAATCCTTCATGTGGAGATAAAGCCTCAACTCTGACAGTCCAGGATTCTTCCCAAACACTGTGGGGAGAGCACTAGGGAAAACATTTAACCACATCACCTTCCTGAGAGGCAACAAACTAGGACCTTATTCCCCACTTACCAGCTGGCTGGCTGAAGAAAGACATTAAATTCCCAGGCCTCAGCTGCTTCAATACACGGAGGTGGTAATACACTAACTGCCTGAAGGGTCCAGACATTACAGGCCGTTCCACACGTGAGGGCTGTGATTCCCAGAGCCCCTTCCAAAGTAATAAATCCTATCAACTGCTGCTTCTCTGAAACAAGCTCCACTAGGGCTGCCCAGCTAACTCATCATTCATCTGACAGAGTACCCGAAAGACAGCAACTTGCTAAGCTCCTAATAGAAGCAAGTGAACCTACATCCTGTTTGAGTCCTCCACACATACTGGAGAAGACTATGAGAAGGAAAGTCCATACACAACATAGAGTTGTACTATGCAATGACACTCTCCCTCCTTGGCTCCTCTCCTCCCACCCAGGGAGCCACAACGCCATTGTTTTTCCTGCCAAATGAGAATTTTAAATACCATTTTTTGTTTCTCAAATTAAAATGCTGGTAATAAACTTCAAGAGCAATCTTTCCTTGGAAACTCCTCAAAGGCTTCTAAAATTCCAAACTGTATCACAGAGCCCAGATACACAGAAACTGAACAAGACAAACACAATCTAGTATCCTTAAAACTAAGGAAAAAAGCCATTCTGAAGCCTAACAGCTGCCCAATTTCATACCAAACTGTTCACTTTTCCAAATGAAGAGTAAACTCATTGCAAAACATAAATTCACCACTTTCAGAACTTCAGACTTAACCGTGTAGGAGAAAAAAGTTTTTTTTTTTTCCAACTCAGAAAAGTGAGTTTTCAACAGAAAATTATGGAGAAACAGGAATCTCTTCAAACCTATAAGGATGTATACCTTTTGGGTTTTTTTTGTTTTGTTTGCTTTTGCAAAGAGGGAGAGAGAATTTAAAGAATGCAGATTCTATAAACTAGAAACTATGCATCAATTTGGGGTAAAATTCTAGAACTGACTGGAATATAGCATTTCTATATACAACACTGAGGTGTCTTTTGCTAAAATATAACAATAGCTGCCTTTTCTCCACAGGGAAAAAAGCAAACTAATGGATAAGATGTTCTCATTTTAAGCTTTTTTCTCAAACTTCTCTAAACCCTTAGTACTTGCCACAACTAATCAGTCTATTCTTGAATCTAGTTTAAGAGATGTGATTTTTTATTTATTTATTTATTTTAAGAGGTATGTATTAGAGGCACCTGGGTGGCTCAGCTGGTTGAGCATCGACGGTGGCTGAGGTCATGATCTCAGGGTTATGGGATCAAGCCCACGTTGGGCCCTGTGCTCAGCAGAGTCTGCTTGTCCCTCTCCCCCACTCTCCCCGCTTGTGGGCACCAGTGCTCTTGCTTTCCCTCTAATAAATAAATAAATAAATAAATAAATAAATAAATAAATAAATAAATAAATAAATCTTTTTTATTTTATTTTTTTTAATTTATTTATTTATAATAGTCACGGGGGGGGGGGGGGGCAGAGACACAGGCAGAGGGAGAAGCAGGCTCCATGCACCGGGAGCCCGATGTGGGATTCGATCCCGGGTCTCCAGGATCACGCCCTGGGCCAAAGGCAGGCGCTAAACCGCTGCACCACCCAGGGATCCCTAAAATCTTTTTTTTAAAGGTGTGATTTAGCACAAAATTATGTATTTAGTTATCCTTACATTAAATTCATAGTATTCTACAGAAAGTAACATGCTTTCTTAGAACGTTCAGTAACATGGGCAAATGTCCTCCATATAAGCCAAAACAGGAATAAAATTAAGTATGTTGCATGAGCTTGACCGTGTACGTCTGCACATCACATACATAGACACAGAAATACACACAAATGTATGCAAAGCAAAACACTACAACCATCCCTTACACAGCTCTTACAATGTGCCAGGTACTGTTCTAAACATTTTATACATATTAAATATGTTCAGTCCTCACAACTCTATGGGACAGGTACTATTACTATCCCCCTTGGTTAACTTAACCCACGGTCACAAAACCACAGATGGTGGGCCCAGGATTCAGACTCAGGCACCAAAAGGTTAGCTGTAGTTATCCCTAGACAGTGGAATTAGGAGTAACTGTTAAGTGTATTTTAATATATTTTTCTTTATTTACCAAACTTTCCTGAGCTTACTAAAAATTAGTCAAAATGAAAAATCAAGATAGACAAATTGCTTTCTTTTCTGACAGTTACACGGGAAAAGTGAACACACACTACATCCTTAGTGCAATGGGCACCCTTAGGGAGCCCAGCAGAAGCACTCATAACACCCACAAGAACATATGACCAGTGCCCAAAGGCCCTCAAGGAGAACCCAACTGTTTCCTGAGCCCACACTTTCACCCATTCAACTACAGCAGGGCTTCTTGACACCCATACCACTGACATTTGGGGATGATTCTTTGTTGTGGGGGCTGCCCTGTACACTGCAGGATGTTCAGGAGCATCCTTGGCCTCTACCCACTAGATGCCAATGGCACCCCCACCACCTCCTTCCCTGTCAGTTGGGACAACCAATACTGTCTCCAGACATGGCCAAATGTCCCCTGGGGGCGACAAAATCATCTCCACTTGGGAACCACTGCACTACCAAGTTATATGTAAGGTCTTGCATTTGAGTTCACAAAAATAAGCAACTACATAAATAGCATGGAAGAGTTCTGGGTGCTCAATAATAGTTCAGTAGGAGACAATATCGTAACAGCCACCGAAAGGACTAATGGCCACCAAGGCTGCAATAATAGTAGTAAATGTGCAGAAAGGGCAGGGTGGAGGGAGGGACAGGTTTTGTCCTCTTTGAGGTCAGACTACAGCTAGAGCACTAGATGTGATACTGGTTACCACATTTTAAGAGAGATGTATTCAGATGAGAAGTGGCTTTAAACTACATAATATGAAGAGCATGAGCAACTAGTGTTTAACCTAAAGCAGGCTCAGTGGGACATGAGAGCTACGTCCAACTATATGTCACGGTGAAAGGGATGCTGTAAAACTAAAACATGGGAGCTCCAGAGACACAGATTCGAGCAAATGAAAGGAAATTTTAGTTCTATGGAATGAGATTATAAACTAAGGATCTTGTAAACTTCTATCTATTGGCAATCCCCAGCAATTGTCTACATATGTGTTGTACACAACGGTAGCCAATAGCCACATGTGACTACTGAGCATGTGAAACGTGTTTAATCAAAACTGAGGTGTGAAGAAAAAAAAAAAAACTGAGGTGTGTTTTAAGAATAAGATACTGGATTTTGAATAGTATTTTTAAAAATGTAAAATATCTCATTAAAAATGTTTATATTGATTGTATGTCAAATGATAGTATTTTAACATATAATGGCTTACATATATATTAAAATTAGTTTCACCTGTTACTTCTTTTTTTTTTTTTTTAAAGATTCTACATATTTGAGAGAGAGAGAAAGCAAGAGAGAGCACAAGCAGGGAGGAGAGGGAGTAGCAGGCTCCCTGCTGAGCAGGCACCTCAATGCTGGGCTCGATCCCAGGACCCTGGGATCACAACCTGAACTAAAGGTAGACATCTACCCAACTGAGCTACCCAGGCACCCCTCTTTTTCAATGTGGCTAATGGGAAAAAAAATTTAATTACATTAAATTACATACTGCCTCCTGTTTTATTTCTATTAGACCAGCAATGGTCTAGAGCACTGATTCTCAAAGTATGATCCCTGACTACTTGAAAACTTTGAAATGAAAATTCTCAGGCCTCACCCCAGGCCTACTGAGTCAGACATTCTGGGGTTAAAGCCAAGCAACCTAGTTCCTCCAAACTATTCTGTTCCATTCTAGTTTGAGAAACACTAGCCTAGAATCTAGACTCTAACTCGGTGGCTTGCCAGTATGGCTGCACATTAGAATCACCAATGGACGTTTTAAAGATTATCAATAACCAAGTCCCACTGCCTGAGATTCTAGTATAGCTGATCTAGGAAAGGCCAGATACTATTTTTCCCAAAGTTCCCTAAATGATTCTACTGTGCCAGCAAGGTTGAAAACCACTGAGCTAGACACAAGGCTGCTGTACACAGGATGCAGGTACTAATGGATAATTACACAAGATGATATGTGAATACCCTTCCAGCACTAAAATTCTATGATTCTAAAGTCAAAATATAAATAACTTGTTTAGCATAGAGATAAATGGTTAAAATTAGTGATTCTTTAATGTTTTTAGTAATGTAATTAGCAATGTAACTTAGGGCGACATTTAGTAAGATGCAACTGGATACAGTTCAGAGAGATGCTGATATTGTACTGCGCGATCCAATTAGAGATTCTTTTCACGCTACAGCCAATCATGTTTTTAAGGACTACACCAAGGTAAAAAAAAAAAAAGGACTACACCAAGGTTAGAGTGTTTCTTTCTAAAAATAAAAAATAAAAAAAAATGTTTCTTTCTTTAAAAAAAAAAAAAAAAGAATGTTTCTTTCTTGTTTTGAACCTGAATCTAATTTATTTATGGGTCCACCCTCCAGTCAACATGACAAACACGAAGGTGGCCCATGACACATGACAAAAGCCCGTAAGTAGCTCTGTGATTAATCTATGCTAAATTGACTCAACTTATGTAAACGCTACATTAGAGGATACCAGCTAATTTATCCCCAAGCGCCCAGAGGTTCCAGGATGCTACGAGTACCATACCGCCTACAATCAATATGCCCCATAGCGAGATGCTATGTCAGGCTACTCAGTATTATAATCAGACCAGAATGGAAAGACAAGAAGAGTGGAGGCTGTCAACTTTTCTGCATTACCAAACTTTATCATATTTTTTTTTATTTATTTATGATAGTCACAGAGAGAGAGAGAGAGGCAGAGACACAGGCAGAGGGAGAAGCAGGCTCCATGCACTGGGAGCCCGATGTGGGATTCGATCCCGGGTCTCCAGGATCACGCCCTGGGCCAAAGGCAGGCGCCAAACCGCTGCGCCACCCAGGGATCCCCCAAACTTATCATATTTCACCAAGAGTACACAATAAACATTAATAAAGAATCTGTTGATACTTACTAAGTAAACAATCACATACACAGGAAACACCATCCACTGCACAGTAACAAAGCCTGTCATCATCATATCCAAAAGCGCCACAGTACTAGAGGGCTGGGCCACAGCCCATCTCATGGTACCCATGGGAAGAATGTGTGAACAGAAAGAGGTGAGCTTCATGGAACCCATAGAGAAGGAATTATCATCATTTTATCTAACATTGTCTCAAGAATAAGAACCTCAGAAGGGAGAGAGATGAACATTCTGGCCTCTGGCCTGCACGGTCACTGCCACTGGTCTACCCTTGTACCGATAACTCCTGTCGTCCTAAACAACTCGTGGCTCTCTCAAAAATGCACTCCTGTACCTCTACATATATTACTCCTCGGCCTGGAACGTTCTCTTGGCATATTCCTACCGGTCCTTTATGACCTAGTCTGTGTATGACTTCCTCTGAAAGGCATCTGGCACAGTGTAAGTTTCACTGAACGCTGGCTGAATGAACAAGGCCTCCTTGATCGCGTCAGGGCGTACTGGCTACTTCCTTCTCAATAGTATTGACTATAATCAGTCACTAATTGTTATATATACCAAACTATAATTATTTACATCATCCATTTTCAAAGTGTGGCCCAGTTTTGGGGAGAGAGAGGTAGCTCTGAGACCCATTCAGAGTATTCTTGAGCTCAAAACGAAGATGTTGCCTATGTTTTGCACTTTTACTCTCTCACGAGTGTACAGTGGAAACTTTCAAAGCCCACCTGATACATAAGGGCTATCACTCTGACAGTTAATGGAATGTGTGCTCCTGTATTCTCGCGTTTTTTTCTGTTTTAATTCCAAATACAGTAACTATTGGTAGCCATAACCCACATAAACAAAAGCTCTGGGCAGCCCCGGTGGCCCAGTGGTTTAGCGTCACCTTCGGCTCGAGGTGTGATCCTGGAGTCCCGGGATCGAGTCCCACATCGGGCTCCCTGCATGGAGCCTGCTTCTTCCTCTGCCTGTGTCTCTGCCTCTCTCTCTGTGTGTTTCTCATGAATAAATAAATAAAATCTTAAAAAAAAAAAAAAACTCTTTGGAGTTATCAGTAATTTTTAAAAGTATAAAGGGGTCCCCAGGCCAAAACGTCTGAGCCTCCTTATACATTTGTCTCTTCCTAGGCTGTGAACTCCTTAAGTACCTTAGTCATCAATGGATTCCCAGCTCTTGTTCAACCAATGTCTGCTGAATTAACTAAAGAAGTATATTCTTTTGGGGGTGGGGCAGAGTAGAGGCAGTACACCCAAAATGAAAGCTCCTGCAAGATTTTACAGTCCCCTGCGCTGCAATTCCTGCTCAGAAGCAACCTTCTGTTGAGTACTCCGGTTTCCTGGACACCCTGACATTGAGAATATCATGTCCAGTGTAACGGACACAAGCAATCCAACCATTTGCTAGGAACAGCCCCGCTTCAACCCAAGTGTACAGCATTCAGCTGTAAAGTATTCTGGTTTATACAGCAGTGTCTTGGGCTTATTAAGTCTGACTAGGATAAGTAAGGCCCAGAAGAGTGAATAAACTATATTTGACAGAATCAAGGTACCAGGCTAAAACTAAGACATGGCAAAGTGAGTCTCTACTTGTAGTGACTCCACTAAGAACACCTCCCTTTCAGCAGCCTTGCTGAGGGTCTAGTTGGCCTCCACGATATTTTTTTTTTTTACCACTTATTCATACAACAAAAATGCACTGAATGTCCTCTATGTACTAGCTGCTATGCTAGGTGGTGGTGAGTGAATTGCAACCGAGCTCTAAGTAAGGCCACGTGTCTAAGCACTAAAGATCTGCAGGAAAGGTGGGAAAGATAAATTAGGGCCTTAGTTCAAGTCTCAATCCATAAGCTACAACGGAATGTGAAATCCAAAAAACATGTGCTTCCCCTTTCTTCCACACTTAGTAAGTAAAGCAATTAATTCTATCTGGCCTTTGACTTCATCTTATTCCTCCCTCTGCCCTTTCTGAGCCCTCAAATGGAGGGAAGAATGACGGCAGCCAGGCTGTTAACTAACACTCTCTCTTCCGGAGCAACAGGCTCAGGCAACAAGAACCCCCCCCCCGACCTACCCTAACCCCTGCAATGAGCCCCTCTCCTCTTTTTCCTTCTGTCATCCATGCTCCTGGATCCATAGCCTCTTCCCTTTCCCCATTCTTTTCTCCCTCCTACCCCACTTATTTAGCTTGCGTTTCCCCTCACTCCCCCACAAATAAATGAAATGAATGAATGAAAACTGGCCCTAGATTCCAGAATGAATGAATAAAACTGGCCCTAGATTCCAGAATGAATGAATGAAAAAATAAATAAAACTGGCCCTAGATTCCAGAATGAATGAATGAATGAAAAAATAAATAAAACGGCCTAGATTCAGAATGAAGAAGAAAGAAAGAAAGAAAGAAAGAAAGAAAGAAAGAAAGAAAGAAAGAAGAAAGAAAGAAAACTGGCCCTAGAAAGGGAGAAGAAATGTGTGGGAAATATCAGAAAGGGAGACAGAACATAAAGACTCCTAACTCTGGGAAACGAACTAGGGGTGGTGGAAGGGGAGGAGGGCGGGGGTGGGGGGGTGAATGGGTGATAGGCACTGAGGGGGGCACTTGATGGGATGAGCACTGGGTGTTATTCTGTAAGTTGGCAAATTGAACACCAATAAAAAATAAATTTATTATAAAAAAATAAAATTATGAAAAAAAAAAACCTGGCCCTAGATTACTGAATGAATAAATAAATAAATAAAACTGGCCCTAGATTCCAGAATGAATGAGTAAATAAATTAGTAAAACTGGCCCTGGATTCCTGAATGAATGAATGAATGAATGAATGAATGAATGAATGCAAACAAACTGGGCCTAGCTTGCAGTCTCAGCCCCGGCACAAGCTCGGGGAAGCCTCGCCGGGGAAACTGAGGCCCGAGCAGGCGAGCGCTGCAGGAGCTCCCTTCAGCCCGGCGAAGACCGAGTTCCCACGAGGGAGAAGCGGGGCGGCAGCCCCCAGCGGGAGCCCGAGGCGGCAGCTCGCTCTCCGAGGGGCCCGGGCCGCCACCTCCCGGCGTCGGCGTCGGCGTCCGCGGCCCCGGGGCTGCCCCACTCGCGGCCCCGCCCCCCTCCGGGTCCGTCTCCGCTCAGACGTCACCTCTCGGGGACGCCCTCCCGGGCACGACGTAAGGGGACCCCGGCTCCGGGGCTGCGTGTCACGCGGGGCCGCGAGCGTCCCGAGCGCCCCGAGGGGATGGGGGCGGCCCCCGCGCCCCGCCCCCCCCCCGCGCCGGCCGGGGGAGCGAGGGGACAGCGCGCCCGGGCCCGCCTCACCCGTCCCCCGGCACCTCCCGCAGCTTCAGCCCCAGGGCCTGCAGCTGGTTGGCGAAGCTGACGCACTCCTCCTCGCAGCCGCCGCCGCCGGACTCCGGCCGGTTCCGCCGCTCCTTGGCCAGGGCCCGGCGTGCCGCCCGCTCGTCGCGCTTGCGCTCGGCCTCGGCCTTCCGGCTGCCGCTGCCCGGCCGGCCCTTCGCCGCCTGCTTTCGGGACATGGCCGCGGCGAGACGCGCCGCCCGCCGCGCGCCGGACTCGGGGGCCGACGGAGCCAAGCAGCGCGGGCGACCGAGCCCGGCGACGGCGACGCGCCCACCGCGCCTGCGCGGGCGCCGCGCACCCGGGTCACGTGACAGGACCCCGCGGGCCCCCCCCCTCCGCGCGGCTCCGGCGGCAGGCACCATAGAGAGCCCGCCTCGGAGGGCTAGAGGGGCCCCCGCCTCCGTTGGCTCCGCTCCGCCCCCAGCGGCGGGTGGTGCTCTGCGCGGGGAGCGGGTGGCTGCGGGGACCGGGAAGCCCGGGAAGGTCAAAGCCGAGAAACGGAGGAGGATGGAGAAGTGACATGAGACGCAGGAGCAGCGACAAAAACGAGGGAAGAGAGGGGGCTAAAAACTTCGAACTCGCTTTAGGAGCCTACAGCTGGGGTGGGCGCGCTCACATGGCCCAATCTTGTTTAATTATCCCCGTATTAGGGGAAAACAGGATCGGAGAGGTTAAGGAATTGCAAGAAGAGCTTTGCGCAGGCTCCAAAGCCCATCCGCTTTGTTGGTTCAATCAGCCCCTCTCTTGACCCCTCTACCATCCTCATAACTCAAGGGAGAGGCTGTCCTCGTTCAAAACTTGTGGCAACTCTGGGAATCTGGATTCCACTCTAGGGTGACCCACCCAGGTTTGCAGTGAACTAAGGGTTCCCTGGGACGCAGGGCTTGCAGTCCTTGGTGAGCCAGGGTCGTTGGGTCACTCTGCTTCACACCCGCCCGTTCTGGAACTTAACCCCAACTGTAACCCCCCTCTCTCCTGCAATAATCCCTTAGCTCAAAGGCAGACTAAGACACATCAACATTTTCTCTTGTTTTTTTTTTTTTTAAGATTTTATTTATTTATTCATGAGAGACAGAGAGAGGCAGACACAGGCAAAAGGAGAAGCAGGCTCCCACCCGGATGTGGGACTGGATCCCAAGACCCCCCAGATCATGACCTCCAAGGTGGTTGGAGACGCTCCTCCAACAGGAGGTAGGGGAGAGGATTTTATAGAGAAGACAGGAACTCAAGCAAGGAAATTATTTGACTGGCTGTAGCATGAGCAGTTGACGTACTTGGGAAACCCTATTTGACTGTGCTTGGTTCTTAAGTTTCATTTTCTGGGATTTGAGTGCACTGACTCTGGCTTAGGGTTTGGTGCGATTCTGTGGTTACAATGCATTCTGTAGTTACGAGCCACCTCGGTCTAATGGCCTCCTCATTCAGTTACCTTAATACCCTCTCCTCCCTCATCTCAGTCCCTCTTTCTTAACTCTTCCCCTTCCCATAGTCATGCTACTGCCTTCTCCTCCTCATGGCCCTCTAAAGCAATCTCACCATCTCTGGAAATGTTCCTAATGTTTCTGCCTTTAATAACTATCTCCTCCCTCTACCTACAAGTTCCTCTTGGGTCATGACCAAAAGCAGCATCCGAATGCTCAGTTTCAACCAGCATCTGTATTTATCTTCCATCAGTAACTCTCATCTTGGGCTCTGTGCCAGGTAACCAGCATCACCCTGAGCCAAAGAGACAGGGGGATTGTCCTCAGGAAGCCCAGGTTCTAGTGGGACCTATAGGCAAGGACACCACCATTATAATACTGCATGAGAAATGCTATAGGAAGAGGCACAGGGTGCCATGGGGGAAAAAAAGTGGAGTGAAAGATGCAAAAAGGCTTCTGGGAAGAGCTGAGTGCCAAGCTGAATCTGAAAGGATGAGAAGGACTTGGGCAGATTGAAAGTTCAGAGGGAGGGGACAGTGTGTTCTGTTTTGCGGACTGAAGGAAGTGCCGTCTGACGGGAATATGGGGCTTGAGCAGAAAGTGGAAGGAAAGCCCAGCTCGGGCCCAATCTCATAGGGCATATGAAGGGGCTCAGCCCAAGCCCTTAGAGCCGTGGGGGCCCATCCTGGGAACATACATGATCAGGTATATGTCTAGAAACATGTCTTCTGCTTTGGTGAGGAGAATGGGTCTGAGGGCAGATGCCACATAGGACGCTCCTGTAGATGTCCAAAGACAGATGATGGTGATGTGATGCTAGGTCCAGGGTGGAGGCGGAGAGAGGGAAATGGGAAAGAGAGATTAACATGCTGATACAAGTGCCTAGAAGGGAATTGGACTTGTCTTGAAATGTTGCACATGCTTCACTGAAGTTCCTGAAATTCTTTCCCTACAGATCCTTCTTTTGTTCTCCGGAAGAATGAGTGTGAATTGTTCCTGGACCCGCCTTTTCTTGCACAGACATTCTGAGGCTTTAGATGACCCCTTCTGTTATGTTTAGTAAGGGGAGGGTGCTGGGCAGTGCTGGGAGTGCAAACCCACTGGACAGGATGGCAGAGACCGAGGTTCTGGTCCGGATCTATCACCTTCAGACTCCATGATCTTTTTTTTTTTTTTATGATAGTCACACACACACAGAGAGAGAGAGAGAGAGGCAGAGACACAGGCAGAGGGATAAGCAGGCTCCATGCACCGGGAGCCCGACGTGGGATTCGATCCCGGGTCTCCAGGATCGCGCCCTGGGCCAAAGGCAGGCACCAAACCACTGCGCCACCCAGGGATCCCCAGACTCCATGATCTTGGGTTACTTCCTCCACCTCCCAAGTTCCTGTTGTTCATCTGGAAATTAGCAATGAAAACAGAAAAGACCAAATGCAACAGTAATGACAAACTTCTGTGGTGTTACTCTGTGCTAGGCACTGTTCTTATTGCTTTGCAAGTACTATATCTTGTTTAATCGTTACAATAACCCAATGAAATATGTACTGTCTGGGGCACAGAGAGGTCAAGTAACTTGCCCAAAGTCACAAAGTGACAGAGCCAGGATTTGAAGCTGGGCCATTTCACTCCAGACTATATACTCTTTTTTTTTTTAAGTGAGCTCCACACCTACCATGGGGCTTGAACTCACAATCCTGAGATCAAGAGTCACACACTCTACCAACTAGGCCAGCCAGGTGTCCCAGGACTATATGCTCTGAACCACTGTATCAAACTACACACATAACTTTTCATAAACTGCACAAAACTCTACATAACACCTGAATTTATTTCATTTTTATTTCATTTTATTTCATTTATTTCATCATTAATTCTCCCATGCATCCCATATTATTGCTGATACAGTCTTTCTACCCCTGTTGTCACATATCACCGTTGTCTGATTTTCTATTTAACTTTTTCCGTGTTAAAGCAGATCACAATGATTTAGAGCCTGGTGGGCCTGGATTTCTATCCTGGGTTCACCTCCGGTGAGTGGTTTAACTTCTGAACCTCAGTTTGCTATTCTGTCAAATGTCCGTGCCAACGTAGGGACAGGAGGGAGAGTTGTAAACATTAATAGAAACACAAAGCCCCAGACCCACAGGCTTAACAAAGTTGCTTGAAACCTTCCTCTGTGGTGGAAAGCCCATGGGACGAAGGCAAAGCCTGGCGTTGCAAACTTCAGAAACCAGAAGAGGAAGACTTGTCTTCACGAAACATGGAAATGCAGAACATGTGCAAACAGTGACAGAAATACAAACGCTTGCCTTTCTTGTAAAATTCTTTTCTTCCAAAGGCCCATGACCTTTTGCGCCATGCCTAGAATTTCGAAGGAACTCGTTGCCCTTCTCTCAGCAGAGACCTCCGCTAGACAATGTTGTCCTTTGAGTGCAGACAAAGGCTGCTTATGTGTTATATCGAAAGGCCAAAGGGAAGGAGGACTTGTACACTTAGCAGTTGCTCTGCCAGCTTCATCAGAGCTATTTCAAAAACTCAGGAAACCTCACTGGGTGCCATGTAGTACAGGAGACCCCCTTCTCTGAGGGGGGACACATTCAAAGATCCCCAGCAAATGCCTGAAACAGTAGATAGTGCCAAACCCTAAATATACTATGTTTGTCCCTATACGTACATACTTAGGGTAAAGTTTAATTTTCAAATTAGGCAAGAAAGAGATTAGCACTTTCTGTGCCTAATTTGTAAATTAAACTTTACCATAAGTATATATAGTATAAAATAGTATATATATGTATATAGTACAGCATATAAATATAATGTATAATACAATAGACCAATAATGACAAGATACTATAATAAAAGTTATGTGAATGTAGTTTGTCTCTCTCAGGCTATCTTGTCCTCGCCCCTCTTCTTGTGATGACCTGAAATGATAAGATGCCCATGTGATGAGATGTAGTGAGGTGCAGGCGAATGACCAGGCATAGCACATAGCCCTAGGCTACTACCTACCTTCTGACAATCCATTAACATCATCAGGAGGATCAAGAGGATCCAGACTGGGGTTGATCACAGGTAACTGAAACTGTGAAAAATTAGTCCCCCCAAAAAATGATTAGATTTTTAGTGAAGAAATGCAGCTTTAGGACTTACTTGCCAGAATGTACCATAAAGGGTGTGGGAAGATAACGACTCTCACACGGGGCACTAGTCTGGCAGCTTTGGAGTCCGGCCACTGCAATGGGGCAGGCTCTGGTAACATTTTAAATACCTGGCGGCCCAGAGATACCACATCTCATCACCCATTCTAAAACAAATCTTGCACACATGCCCCTGGAGGTATGCCCAGGGATGTTTAAGGCATCATGGTAGGTAAAAAGTCAATAATTAGAAACAATATAACTATCCACAGGAAAATGTCTTCTTAAATTATAAGGCAGCCATTGAATACTTTGAAACAGTTTAAGAGGATAAGGTGGAGGGAAATGAGGTTGGTCTAGAACTCACATAAACAGCTCTCCTGAACATGTGGTCTAATGGAAAACCCTGCGGCCGAGCAATGCATTCCAAGTAACCTTTACCTAAAACACAAAAGCAACATAAAACAAAACAGAACTACATTTTCTGCAGGTATATATGTGGGCTAAAACTTGTAAGAAATGGTCTGGAAAGATAAATACCAAATTGATAAGAAATAAGGAGGGAGGGAAGAGTGAAAGACACCTTTTCATTATATATAATGAATTATTCATTATGTATAATGAATATATAATAAATATATATATTCATATACATATTATACATATATAATGAATATATACTACAATATATATTATATATACTATATATTATATT